CGCGACAAAAGCTCGAGGAACAGCTGCGTTTGACATCCAAGGGTCGCAAGCCTTATCTGCACGAGTCACGACACAACCACGCCATGCGAAGACCGCGTGGACCTGGTGGACGTTTCCTGACTGCAGATGAAGTGGCCGCTATGGAGAAGCGAGAAGAGGTAACAGGCCAGCCTGTTACCTTCGAGGATCTCAGCAAGCCATTGCCAACTGAGAATGGTGGTGGACAGAAGCGCAAGTCAAGTGAAGTCCATGGCGATGGCATGAACTCTTCTAAGAAAACGAAGATCAATGCTAGCGCCGATGGAAGCTCGGGGGACTCTGCTGAGCCCTCGGACGAGGACGGCTAACTTCCCTCATCTTCATTTGTGTTCACCCCAAGACTGTAAACACTACTCGTCTTGACCAGGTGACTTGCGGTATCGAATTTTTTTGTTTTTCTTTTGTCGTCACGGCTTTATGGATGGACGTCTTGGACCTTTTCTCTAGCGAGCGATGTGTATGGATCCCCCCTTTCTATGCTCTATGCCCCATTTGATGTGCTTTTTGTCTGATATGCTTTTGTCTGATGTGTTTTGTCTGATGTGTTTTTGTTTTGATCTATCTTACCCCCATTTCCCCTGATGTCTGTCTGTTTATACTCGCTATGCTGGGACGATTTATTTCTTCTTCATTCCCCCTCTTGCCTATTTTATCTCAATCCTCTTCTCAATGGTGTCTCCCTCAGTTCATGGGAGAAACCTTGTACAAGAATGACCATTCAAAGCATCTACACTTTCACCCTGGTGAAAAGTGATATGTGAGACTGGAGATAGCATGCTCTGCTTTACTCTGCTCGAAATTGTGCCGCCTGTTGGCCCTCATATTACATGTAGGGTTAAGGGCACATGGTTGTGCTTGATATGCCAGCTCATAATCTTCGGCAGTTAGCAATTGGCCAAAAATTCGATCTTCGGATGTGCTATCTCCATATCTCTGTCTCCATTCTATCCACCTTATGTTTCTATTATGAATATGCCTGGCAATATCTTTCATATTCTTCTCCTATTACATCCCCATTTCTTACTTTCCTTCTGTTTCGGTGTCTCGTGTTGCGGGTTTATGGGTCTCCGGCTGGGAATTTTTAGAGAGGGTCTCCATCACTGGAAAAACAGAGCGGGATATCGGTTTTCGAAAGACAGGTTTGTGTTATGAATATCATTTGAATTTTAGTATTGTTTTTTGGTTTCTTTTCTTCCCTTGGGTCCTTTGTGTTCGCTTAGGATCTGGCAAGGCGATGGATGCAGGGCAGGATGGAAATTGGATTGTAGATTTTGGAAACCATGAATATATTGTGCAGGTATTTATAGTATCTTAACGCCAGAAATAAGATGCATTGATCGTCACTGGCGCATATGTACAACATATGCTCGCTCCTAAAAAGCCATGACCATGTGGGTCCGGGTCCTTTGGTAGAGGAACAAAGGAAAATAAACTTACGAGTCTCCCAATATCCTAAGAGTGCTTGGACACTCGTATCTGATTGAGACATTCCATGAATTTACAGGTTTAGTGATGGTCGGGTGGCTCGGTCAAGTATGCTTTCTGTTGTTCGCTATCTCGCTAGCTGGTGTTCATCTTAAGAATATAGAGGAATATTATAGGAATGTGATGCTTCAAAATTGAGGACTCGAAATGTTAAAAATGTATCTGATAAATCCTGCGCAATAATAAGATCCTAATAGTATGTCTAATGGTTAAGTCCATCGTAGACGGCATGCGGGCCACTGAGGCTCAAAAGCCCTTGAAATCACATTGTAAGATAAAAGCCAAGGGAAGTGTGAGCCAAGAAGGGCATGAGTATATCGGAGCTTTCTGGCCCGCCAAAGTCTAGACTTTGTAACGGCAGGGGTGGAGAAATGGAGTATGTGACAAAAAGGGGTGTATGGGATTGATCTAGGAATGTATGGAAAAAGACAACAATCAGATAAGACAACACATGAACTGGTGGGAATCAGAGGTGGTGATATTCTTACTTCCACCTGGCAAAGCTGGGTGTGGTCTTCGATTGTAACATGGAACAAGGAGGAAATGAATTCCTTCCCGGTGGTGCTCCGGGGTTAACTGAAAGTCCTGTAAATGCAGAGAACCTTCCAATCGACCACAGTATTGAGAGGAAAGGTTGGTTGCAAGTTACACCGACATCAGCAGCTGGAAGACACAAAGCATGATTGAGCCAGGTGTAGTGTCAATAGCGATCTGGCTACAAAAGCCCGCACCTGGTTATTGAAACATGCACATGTCAGACTTTGACACCGACTGCCAGCAACATATACATCCATAGCACCACTCAATGAGGACTGGATGAACGGCCATGAATCTGCAGTTCGCCAGCTCTCATACAGCTTCCCAATCCATGGCATCGACCATGAACCCCCAGTCTGCCTCAGAGCTTGCCCCATCTCCAGTGACCTCCTCCGGGCGGATGCACTTGTCGACATGCTCCTTTGCGCGAATATACGATTCTTCTAAACCGCCGAAGATATCCGAGATGATGCCCTCGAAATCAAAGCTAGCAAGCGTAACAACGTCTTTTCTTTCACCTTGCTTTTCTCTCTCTTCCATGGTCAAATCGGCAGTTTTCCACCTATTCCGCAGTTCCTTGGCCTTTTGTAATTGCAAATAGACATGGCCACCGCCAAGAACCGGGGATAGTGGGGTTGATTGCTCCCGCAAGGCCTCTAGCACATTGGCATGGTATCGATGAATACCAACAGGCCGACCGATGCCAGTTCCATTATCTGGTGGTCCTCGAGGCGACGATGTAACCGAGATATTGAATACCGCCAATAAATGGACAATGGCACGTTCTAGTAGAGCATAATATTCGTGGAAATCGATCTTGAACATTATTTCAGCGTGGGCGACATCTTCCGCCGATCCGAGCTCCCCGATTTCCAGAGTTGCAAGACGGTATCCTTCAGCTAAAAATGGGAGTTTCCATCGCAGCCTGGCGACAATTTTCATAAATCGTGCCAATTCCTCGGCTGGCGGCAGCAAACGGCCATCTTGGGGTGTGATAGTCGCCGGGCGGATGCTGCTGTTACCGGGATTGGAGTTGTTGGGCCAATACCGAGGAGAATTTTGACTCGCTGGGTATCGTTTATTTCCCCCTGTTCCGGGTGCCCAGCGAGAGTTGAGCAGACCTGACATGGTCGTTCGTAGGTAAAATGTGGCGTGTTATGCTGATGTGGTTTGGCGGGCGTGGTGGTTCTGATCAACCAATCAGCGGTTAGTATGGACCTAAGGAATATCGTGCTCATGAGAGACCTGGGGATATGCGAGTTGAGCTCTCTTACTTTTGTAGGTGTTATCTGTTGAAATTGAGGGGGATATCTACCTATACATAGTATATATTATGTATAGTATATATTACTGCATCATGTCTCCTGTTATCGCCTTTTCCTGTTCTTGTTGAGTCTTGAGCAGCCTGTAGTTCAGTCCGCGATTGTGTGTCAGACTAAACACCTTACCTAGGTATGCAACTGCGTTTTCTGTCAAAATATGTAAGTGACAGGTTTACGAGGGGAGGTTGACCTTAGGGAAACCGGTTTTCTTTGTTTGATAATGACTAGGCAATTATCTGACTCTAACACAAATATTATTTTAAGATTGAATGTCGTCTAGGCCTTTTTCCTATATTTACCTGCGCTAGAAAGAATACAGGCCTTTTAGCCATATATAACTAGAAGACCAGCGATTACTGGGAATCTTATTGACCTGCTTTACAAGGAGTGTTTGTGTGATATATCAACAGTGCAATTGGATTCTGCTCAAGTACAGAGTATATAATATGTACATGTTTCCAAAGGACAGCCAAAAAGAGTGTGCGTTATTTTGATTATCCCATACCAAGGGATCCATGCAGGATGTATAACTTCGTTTGCCAGCGCTAGTCAAGCGAAAAGTGACCCGGTAACCAACATGAATGATCAGGGGGCCGATAAAAATCCAATTTTTTGATAGGCGGTTAAGTAAAAGGAGTAGCACAAAACCGAAGCAGACTTCCATGAAGGAAATCATCAACAAGGTTGAAGTTGTCAGGATCTTCAATTGTTAACAGGAGGTTATACTTCATTGATATCCGGCGAGATATTGGAGTGACTAACCCGGCTCTGGCATTTTTTAACTTGAACAATCTTTTTCTTCCCCCCCCTCTACTCATTTTATTCCCGACTTCCACTGCTAAAAATTATAGATTTAACTGTTGCCCAAGTTAGGGCAGGCAATTGTCGTTCCTGACAACCCACCAATCAGCGGCAGTCTTTCATCCCCGTGACGCTATACCCCTTTCAGCCAAGCGCCCCAGCTCTCTCCAGCTTCGTCCGCCTCCTCGGCTTCTTCCCATCATCACCAACTGTCGTGTGTCGCTCGAGGCTTCTTGTAGGTGGCCCTCTTCTTTCTCCAATTCGGTTTCTGTTTATTCTTTGGCTTTTTCCCTTGCCCCTTCTCTTTCTATCATTCTCCTCTGACCCTGCTTTTCCAATCCCCTGCTCCATCTTCTTTTCTTCCTAAGCCGTGGCGCCAGCCGCGCATTGCTGGATCTTGTGGGCTATGACTCCTTGAATGCATAACAGCATTGGCTCTGGCCAGCCTTCTTTATAATCTCTCTTTGCTATCCGAAATCACCTGCTGCAAAGATGTTCCAAACCCCTGCCAAGTTCCAGGGCCGACATGTCGCCAGCAGCAGTGTGTTCTTGTCTCTCTCTTTGCCCTAAACCCCTGCCTCTGTTATTCCTCGTGAACTTCCCAGCCGCCACCATCGCTATTTCGCTCTATGAAGTTGCTTGGTCTGATGTTGACGAATATCGAATCTTAGCTCATCCTGCGGTTCCCGACTCCCTGATCAATTAACGCAGACTGCCCCATTTGCGATTTATCCACCTGGGCTCAGTCCTTGGGATTATCGATACATTGATCGCAGCGAAGGCGATAAAATTACCTATCTCGGAAGGTTTCAAACAATGGATTCCTACGATGGTTATGGATCTCCCGGAAGGAACCGTGAATCGGATTCCTTTACGGGAAGAGCCACAGGGGAATCATACAGACGTCGGTCGCCCGGTAAGTCTATCATTGAATATTGTTACGGAGAGGTGGGCGAAATTGACTCTTGACCAGCCTCTCAAGATCGACGACGTGCACGACCGCGCTCCCGCTCGCCCGTGATTGACCGGTACGAGCCTTCGGAGCGTCGTTCTCACCGCGAGGACTTTTACAACAATTCTCGGGAGCATGCTGCCCGAGAGCGCGAGGATCGCCGACGTGCCCCCTCGCCAACTGTGGCAAACATCGATCGCTATGTGCCGGGACAAGACAGCGGTGGCGGTAGCAGTCGTCCTATCCACACCAACCCTATGCCCAATCCTCTTACACTCGATTTCCAAGTCGGATTCAATTGGTTCGCCGAGTGGTGGAGATTGGAGGAATCTGTGAATGAGGAGAAAGAGCGCGCCAAGAACGGCGGCCGTCGAGTAAAGGGAGAGCGCGAGGCGCGCGAAGATCGCGACAAGGAACGCGCGCAAATCCAGGCAGCTTATGATACATACAAGGTCGATCTACAAATTCGACTGGCTAGGTTGTTCGTCCAGCAGCACCGGAACGAGGAATGGTTCAAAGAACGCTATGTTCCCGAAGTCAGAGATCCTCTTCGCGCTCGCCTCATGACGGTTCGACAAGGCGCATATGAACAGTGGGAGCGTGATATGGAAAGTGACCTTTTCAAAGACTTTACCCTTGAAGGCATATACAAGAGCGATAGCGACGGTGCCGGTGGTGTGGTTGAAAAGGAGGAAGGTGAGACTACGGCTACCGCTGAGACCATGGGGGTGCTGGACCTACTTCCAGTCCGTGGCGGAGACCTTCGTGACGAAGCTCTAGGCCAGCCTGCGCTCCTTATTAAAACACTTGCACCAAACGTCAGCCGCAGCAAGATCGAGGAGTTTTGCAAGGAGCATCTCGGCGAGGAAGATGGAGGTTTCAAGGGGCTCAGTCTCAGTGACCCCAACCCCTCCAAGAAGTTCCATCGTATGGGATGGATCATGCTGCATCCTTCCGCAAACACCAGCACGGTGGAGCGTGGAGATGGACGTGAGGAAGAGTTCGAAAATATGGACCATGATGGTACCAACGGTGGTGTCGCAACTAGCCCGGCTGAGAAGGCTCTCGAGGCTGTTAATGACAAAACCATCCATGATTCGGTTCACGGTGACTTTGTTTGCCACGTGGGAATCCATGTTCCCCCAGCTCAGCCGCGCAAGAAGGCTCTCTGGGATTTGTTCTCCGCGCCTGAGAGAATTGACCGTGATCTCGAGCTGGCCAAACGTTTAACTGCCAAGTTGGACTCCGAGATGAACATCAGTGTGGATGGTTTCACTAAAATCGAAGAGTACGTCGACGACATGCGCGGTAAGGGTGAACTCCAGCCCCCTCCTACTGGACCAGTTAGTGCCAAGAAGCAGAGAAACGGATACAGTGATGAAGGAGATGAAGGGGAGATTGAGGAAGGCGAAGAGAAGGAAGTCCCAGACGAGGAAGAAGTGGACGATGAGGAGCTTGCAGTCAAGAAGAAGAAGTTGGACTTGGTTGTTGAATACCTGCGCCGGGTCTACAACTTCTGTTTCTTCTGTGTCTTTGAAAGTGACTCGGTCCATGAGCTTGGTCGTAAGTGTCCTGGGGGACACCTTCGCCGTCCACGTACCGGACTTTCCACTCAGGCCAAGGAAGTGGCTCGAGCCAGTGCTCTTGGCCAGCCGTTCCCGGCCAAGAAGAAGGAACCTAGCGAGGAAGGAGAAGACCTCTCGTCGCCTGTCCAGGAGAAGCGCGGACAGCGCCATGGTTCCAAGTCTGAACAGCAACTGCAGCGTGCCTTTAACTGGGTGAAAACCTTTGAAGACAAATTGCTGCAGATCCTGGAGCCAGAGAATGTCGATCTCAGCAAGCTCGGCGGCAAGCCTGTTGATCAGGCGCTTGAGGATGAGCTTCTGAAGTACATGAAGCAGGAGGACGACTCCAAGTACCGGTGCAAGGCGCCTGAATGTACCAAGCTTTTCAAGGCCGAAGCCTTCTGGCGCAAGCATGTTGAGAAGCGCCACGCAGAGTGGTTTGAAGGCATTAAGAAAGATGTAAGTCTGCAACCATTCAACACTGATTCCAAGTATTAACAATCATCACAGCTCGCATTAGTGAATGCCTATGTCTTGGACCCAGCTCGCATTGCCCCATCCCGATCCGATGCCAACAGCAACGGCCACTTCCCACTTGGTGGACAAGGCCACACCGGCACTCCTCGTGGATTCAGCCTTGCCAGCCTGCCCTACGCCCCCAATGGCAACATGCCCACCTTCCCTCCAGGTGCCATGCCCGGCATGATGGGTTCACACGCAGGCGGCTGGAATGCAAACGCAATGGGACACGACGGCGGTCTGCACCAGCCTGGACCCATGCGCCGCGGCCAGAACCGAAACAACCGGCCCGGCCCGTATGACCGTCGCCGATTCAACGGCAACGGCCGACTGAGTCCTCCCCGCGGCATGCCCGGCATGTATGGTGGTGGTCGTCTCCCGCCTCCTGGTGTTAGTGTTCCCGCTGGCCACCCCGCAGCCAACATGGCCGCCGGCAACCCCTTCCCAGACTCCATGGGTTCCAACGGAGGTCCCATGGCGCCGCGCGAAGCCGTCCAGGGCCGTAGCCTGAAGAGCTACGAGGATCTGGATGCAGTCGACGCATCTGGCAGCGGTGAACTGCAGTACTAGTTGCATCTGCCGATTTGATCAGATTTCAAGTTCTTTTTTCTTTTTCTTATTTTTTTTCTTTCCTCCAATTGGCGACCTGGCGCATCGGAGGGACCATCGGAGAATCGCTGACTCCAACTTGCTCATTTATTGAATTCAATCATTTCCACTGATCTTTACTTGCGAAAATTGCCTGTTATTTTTATCTCCTTGTTTATCATCCCCCACGGAATCTCTCTTTGTCTTTTCCAGCATGTACAATAACTCTTCTTCTATCAAATAAGGCATTGAAGATTCAAAAATATCAAATGATATTATTGCAATGCAACGCGTATGGGGTATAGATGTGTTATACATAAGTTTACAATTTCTCAAAACAACCTCCATCCCTAAACCAACACTTCCAACGACCATATCCTACGGCATCTGAATAACAACCTCTTCTCGCGAATCCCGCCACTGAACACCCATCCCACGAATCCGCCGCTCACTTGCTAAGAAGAGCAAAAGGTAGACGTGCATAGCGACCTCACCCCACGCATATACTCTAAGAGAGAGGTGCGTGTTAGACGAGATCGTTGATGGGGTCGGCGTCGCAGCTTCGAGAATACACCATACGCCCCAGCCCGCCCGGCCATCCCTGCCTACGAAGTCCGAGAGAAAGGACCAGAAGGCATGGAAGAGCGGGGAAGGCCAGGTTCGGTTCTCTTTTGGCCTTGGCTTTGGCTTGGCCGTGGGACTAGTGGTTCCAAGCTTTGAGTTTCGGTTTCGGTTTGGAAGATCGGCTGGATCTGGGATCCGATGTTGGGGTGGCTCAATAGCGAGGCGCACGAGCCAGTAACCCCGTTCTAAGGGGTCTAGGGGACGGGATTGAGTGGATGGGTTGTAGGTGCGTGCTGGGTTCAGACGCTCTGTGAGCATGGATAGGGTTGGAGTGATGTGGGTAGTGAAAGGGGAAGTGGAGATTGGAGGTCTTGGGGGGTGGATTTCGAGGGGGAGGGTGGAGAGCGTGATGGGATTAGGGGTTGGGGGGATTGCATGGATGGGAAATGAGGGTGTAGTGTGGCTGATGGCGTAGTCTGGGCCTTTTCCTTGATCTGAGCTAGATATTTCGATGGGAGTTTGGGGGAAACCAGTGGGGAGGCGACCATTATCCTGATTCTGGAAGGGGGTCAACCTGTGAGATGCAGCGGGCTGGTCCGCTGCAGGTTGATTTTCGTGAATTGGAACCGGATTCGCCTGATCAGGCTCGGCCGGGGCTGTGCGACGTCGTTTAGAAGGTGGAGTAAACTGCGATGGAGACGATAGTGCTGCATGAGATGGCTCGGCGTAGACTAGTTGGGCGATCTCTGGCTGGGAGTCTGGGATGACGCTGATGAGACTCTCGAGGGAGGAATGATTTGAGATGATGTGCCCGCGTGGAGTCGCGCCATCCCTTTCAGGGACCAGACGACGATCCGAGGATAAGGTCGTGTATGCGGGCCGGAGCGCCTCCCGCAATATTGGCGAAGCCTCGTGTTGAGTCGTCGGGGGCACCGAGGAATGTTCGGCCAGATGCGGGTCTCGATCGGTGGGACTTGAAGACTCGATCTCCTGTGAGGCACATTGGAATTCCAAGATTGCGGCAACTTGGGTCTTATATCGTGCATCATCTTGTGCGGTGCTTGGGGCCGCAATGTGTACTAGAATCTGAGAGGGGATCATTTCTCCGTTGGAACCATTATGATATTCGATGCGGACTAGTGGGATCAGGGCGCCGATCGTATTTGTCAAAATGAAGTCAAGGAGAAAGAGAGACTATTGGATGCAACCTGAAGGTCCTCATGGAAGAAAATGATTGGTCAGCCCGTTCGACTGATCACACTAAATCTCGCACGTACCTGGTACTTTCAAGGTACTTGTATTGTAGTGTTGAAATAGCCGTTGAAGGTGGTACCACCCATGTAGCGGGAGCTTTCCCGAACCCTCAAAAGGACATAACAGATGTTCGAGTGTTTACTATTTTCTGTTTCTGTTTGTTTCTGTCTATTTCGGCCTATTTGTGTATTCACCAAGGTATACCCAGTTTCTTCTTCTATTCTATACTTCTATCCTTCTAGACCTATTAATCTGTACTCCATAGTCCGGCCGTTTGTGTAGTGGATCCTCTTAAGATAGATCGAACGCCTTTTTTTTTTTTTATAAAATCCCAGTTTAATACGATAATTATGAAAAAAAGTAAAAATTAAAAGAGTTAAAAAAAGGAGTTGCACAAAATCGGGTCCATCACATCCACTTGCTTTCTTCCTTATACTCTCCAAGCTCCAATATCTACTCTCCGTAGACTTAGCTTTCTCGACTTAACCTTCTCCCTTACCTACAAAAACTCTCATGGCTCTCAGTGGTGGGGTGTACCCCATGGATCATTCGATGGAGTATTCTGGTGAGTCTCTGTTCATTTATCGAACTCTATCGCATTGGAACCAGATTGAATTTCCCTCAATTGTGGGCGAAGCTTGGAAATCCCGGGTTTCCCGTTATCGCTCAAGCTCCAGGGCTATCCAGATCTGACTTTCTCCCCGATCACCCTGGGCTTTGATCTGGGCTTTCTCCAACCAAATATCCATTGTTTAAATGCATTCCGATGGTTGCTGACATTACAGCGCCGATGTTCCTCCGGCCCGGCCCACGGCCCCGGAGTGCACGGTGCGGGACATGGTAGAAGAACCACATACCCCATCGAACAAAGGCTTCGGCGCGGAAATATTCAAGCTCTTCGGAGGCGGCAGCATTGGTAGTAATGGGTTGAAGAAAACCACGCGAGGTGAGTGATCCCATTCATTCGATCGGACCCCAACTGAGCCTTTCCAGATGGGCAGCAGCCCAAACGTCGCGGCCCCAAGCCGGATAGCAAGCCTGCACTTACCAGGCGACAGGAACTAAACCGACAGGCTCAAAGGTACATATCCTGATTTGATAACCATCGGGCTGGACTAATCCATACAGGACACATCGCGAGCGAAAGGAAAAATACATGAGAGGTCTGGAAGTCGAGGTATCGCGGTTACGGGAGGCCTACACCACCGAGATCATGGACGCCAACACAGCGATTCACCAACACAAAGAGATGATGCATTGGATGCGAGTGGAGAATGAAATCTTGAAGGAAATTCTCGCAGCGAACGGAATCCAATACGAAGCCGATTTAGAGCGCCGCCGGGCAGAACGCCCATTCCAATCGAGCCCTGTTACTGTCGCTCCTAGCAGCACTGCGTCGCAGAGTGCTCCTCTCGCCCACTCGGTCAGCAACCACAACACAACCCCTGCAACCACGATCTCGTCCGGAATGAGTCCCCGCGCCAATGGCATGGATCACTCCGAGATCTCGCCCACGATTGGATATGCGTCCCAGCAGCCAGTGTACCACGCGAGTGCCGGCGAGCATTCCATGAGCATGGATCATTCATCCTGCGGACCTATCGATACCATGCAGCCCATGCCAATTATGCCGGGAGGTGTCTTCGAAACGGACCCCCAGTTGCAAGTTGACTTTATCCTAACGTGAGGCCCATTCTAATCTAATAGCCAAACACACAAGCTAACGAATATATCCCTACAGACTCGAAGGCCCCTGCCGCGAACATACAGACTACCTCTGCAGACGATCGATCACAGAAGCCGACGACGAAGACATGCCATTCTCCGGACACGCCCTGATGGCAACATGTCCGCCGCCTAGCTACATTGCGAAAACCACACACGAACAACCATACCCGCATAAGACGCCAGACCTCCCGCACGCAAACCTCAGCACACTCCTCAACCTCAGTCGACAGCTCGTCACGGACGGACAGATCACGCCCATCATGGCGCTGCAGTGTCTTAAGAACCACGAGCTGTACCCGACGCTCCGTCGCGACGACATCAAGATCATCATGGACACGCTCAACACCAAGGTCCGCTGCTACGGCTTCGGTGCTGTGGTTGAGGACTTCGAGTTGATAGATTGTCTGAGCAGCGTGCTCGGCACCAGGGTTGAACTCGGCGTGGCCGGCACAGCCGATGACTCGATGTATGGTTGAGGGTCAAAGGCAATGAAAATGATTATGATTTGATGTCTGGAAAATCCTATCTTCTGTCTTTGTGTTGGCTACTGCGGAGTGACTTGGCGCCTTACTGCCTGCCTTTCGGTTTTGATTGTGCTTGTGCACTTCATTTTTCGATTCTCTATCCTTTTCTTTCTTACTCTCCCTCTTCTTTCGTTCTTACAATCTCTTCTTTTCGTTTTCGTCTTTGTGCCTCCCGCCGAGAGGGTTGTATATAAGTGAAAATCACCGCGGGTGCAGATGACATGTACCTGGACAATATCTTCCCTTTCTTTCTCTCCTGTCGCTTACAGCTCTAGGAGCAACCAATTATATTGCTTTTAATCTTGTTTCCAATAATCTGAATACACCATGTGCCACTCTACTCTAACGGTACATAGGTTTATATGATACTCAAATATCAGTAAACAACAGAGCTCTAGATCCGGGTATCCATATCCCAAAGGGGAATTATACAAGCAAACCGTAAACCCAGCGATGGCCGTAATCCTCCACGCGTATAGACACAAAAGCCCATAATGTCACCGAGAAGGCACCCAAGACGTTCTTTGTGTTCCTCCGAGAAAGTTGTACAAAAGTTGGTCGTGTTACTCGATGCTATGGACATCACGTTTCGAGGTTTTGGCAAGTCATAATGGAACCACATTACGACAGTGAACCATCGGATGCTATAGACCGCGTAATATACAGGCTGCTTAATTGGGGTGTGCCCAAAAAAGGAAGACCATTCTCGAAGGCAGATTCTACAGTTATTGTAGTGAAGTTCGGTGAACAAAATTTATTGAATAGATTATTGGTCAGACTCTAGAGTATAAAAGCATCAAATTTTAGGTCGAGTACGTATGCACATTCAAGGAGGAACATAAGTCATCAAAAAATCTACTCATCAGCCTCATCGGACTTCTCATCGGACTTCTCCTCCTCAATCTCCTCATCATCCTCCTCGAAAGTAGTAGCAGGGACGCTGTACAGACGCAGGACAGACTTGTTAGGGTCCTTGATGAGAACGTACTTCTTAAGCTTCTCGGCGGGCTCGTCGGAGTCAAGTGCGCGAATACGGTCAACAATGGTACGGACAATACCCCAACCATTACCGAGGTTAAGGTTCATCTGGCTAGCGAACTCGCGGGGCTTGTAGCCAGCAACGCCGAGAACGACGTGGGAGGCAGCGGAGCGGGGGTTGACACGGGAGACGAAGCCGAGCTTCATGCCGTCGGCCTTGGCCAGGATAGCCTGGGTGGTCCAGCGGGCGAGCTTGGCGCTGTTGTTCTTCATCTCGGTGGCGAGGACGGCACCACGCTGGGAGTTGAGCTTGCTGCGCCAGTCGAGGGCACCGCCGGAGCCCTGGGCCTTGGGGTCGAACTCGTTGAGGGCCTTGATGATGAGCTGCTGGTCCTCGGTTCCGGTGGGGCCACCCTTCATGACGGCGTCGACCTCTGTGCGGACGATCATGGAGACGGGCTCCTCGTCGCGCTCGAGGGAGATATCGAAGCGACGGTACTTGTAACCCTTGGAGGCGAGGGGCTCGGTCTCCTCGGTCTCGTCGTAGAAGGGGTTGGGCTTGGCGAAGGAGACCTTGGACTTGTCGGACTCGATCAGAGTCTGCAGGGCGAAGTTGTGGTTGATGATGGTGGCCTCCATGGCGAGGGCGTTGGGGGTGTTAATCTGCTCCTGCTTGCCGGCGGCCTCGGCGGCCTCGAGGGGCGCATCGATGGCATTCTCGTTGACGCTGACCATGTCGAAGGAAGCACCGTCGCGCTTGTCGAAGTAGATCTTGTCGCCCTGGTGGACGATGACGATATCCCACGAGTAGACACTGCGGGTGGCGCACATCAGCATGGACAGGATATCGGAGGTGGCGAAGACAGTAGCGGCGTTCTTCTCGGAGAGCTCGTTGATGACGGGATCCTGGGAGGTGGTAACGTTGTAGGCAGCACGGTCGAGGGCCTGCATTCTGCGCTCGGCGTTCTTGACGGGGGGCTTGTCGTAGGACTTGTCGTAGTAGTGGAGGAAACCGTAGGTCTCGAGGTCCTCGCCCTCGGGAGCATCGAGGTTCAGCTTAGAAAGACGGGTGAAGTCAACCTCCTCGAGCATAGTCCAGTCAGGGCGGATGTTGACAGAGGCCTCACGGATGCGCTGCGGCTTGTCGTAATCTCTCCATCCGAAACGGCGGCCACCACGGCCACCACGAGCACCACCACGGTCGCTGAATTGGTAACCACTCTGCTGGCCGCGGCTAACATTAGGACCAGCACGCTGGAAGCCACCACGTCCACCACGCTGGTTGGCAGCACCGCGCTGACCACCACGGCCACGGAAAACGGTGCCACCGCCACGGCCGAAGCCGCGCTTCTGGACACGAGTGTTATCGACGACGGAGAAGGAGGACTCGTCCTCGGCGGCTGCGACAGTGAAGAGGTTGGAGGTACCGGCACCGTACACCTGCTGGTCTATTGAGACTGTTAGCCATTGCTATTCGATGGAAAGAGCAGTTCGGTGGGGAGAGAGGAAAGTGAAAAGGAACATACCTCTGAAACCACGGTTGTACTGGGGACGCTGGTTCTGACGCTCCTTGGTCTCAGCAGTCCAGTCGGCCATGCGGCCCAGCTTGTCGCCCTTGGAGAAAGGAGCGTAAGGCACACCGGAAAGCATGTTATTATCGGCAGTGGTGGAGGGGCCCCAGGTGTCCTCCGAGGGGAGGGTGGCCACCAGGTCGGCGAGAGAAACGGAAGGCATTTTTATAATGATCTATGGGCAATGTGCGCTGGGCAACTGCTCAAAAAATCAAAAAGGTAGAGGGGTGGTTGATTGATAACCCCGGGGAATGTGGTGTGGATTAATTGAGGCGGGAAGTTTTTTGTGTCGCGAGGGTGTGGCGGTGTGGACAAAGCGCACCGCCACGGGTACACCGCCACATATTTCCATATCAGCCCTGGCCACTTTTCATCTTCGTGATGACGGAGATGGGTTTTTATCTGGACTTAACGAACTTTTTGAGAGATATTGCAGGCTGATGAGGAAATTGAGAATGGCGAACAATGATCCATTATATTCTGACTCTAGAGCTCACCATGAGAATGCCTTGTTCTTTCTTTCCCGGAACAGCATCGAATTGATAGTTATTGACAATTATCGAATCTCTTGAAAGCTATCGACGGACGATTTCAGATGTTGACATCGAATTTTAGGTGGCAGACTAATCCAAGGCACAGCATCGATATCTGCTTTCGATTTTTGATCCAATACGTTCACGTAACTCATTCAGACATACTTATCAAGATCGTCATGGCCCATGACGACAATATATTCTAATAATCAGGGGAAGCCGACATGTACAAAATTTCAAATGATCCAATGAAGAGCAATGGTCATCCAGATTGACTGCGCCCAGATCGAAGGTTACCAAGACCTTGGGACCATCACAATGTCCATCTCCATGGTGCCTGCGAACTAGTTCGACATCGTGCAATCAACGGTGCGAGTCTTATCTCCAATGTCTAGCTTTGCTCGCAGGATTGGATCCGGATCTACCGCAGTATGCGCTGAAGGGGAGGAAAATGACAAATCACAAGCCAACTGATTAAAATTTCGGACAGCGGATGATATTACGGAGTACATAATTGCTTTTTGTTTATGTATCATTTGAGTTCTGCGGCTGGTTGATAGTGTCGATCGGAGGAAATGGGCTCTGCCAGTTCCTTACAGTGGATCGACATCTTGGCAATTCTGATTCGATGCCACAAGGCAGATCATCCCGGAAATTGGGTCCACTGATAAGGAAATTCCCCATCTGGAGACATGGAGAGGAACTAACCGGGGCTCCAGTGGCTATTTGCTTTGCACATTTACTTGGCATTGACTTGGAGCCAGTGACTGCATGCCTTTCAATGATATTGAGTATGGACCATGAGTCATGGTCCATGAGTGATCGACAGCCAAGACAGCTCGCTTGGAACTCATTCGGATCATGGATGTGCACATCATGAACTATGTCAGATTCGATCTCAGGTACCGGTTCACTATTTCTGTCACAGGAACTACCTTTCTAGCACCTGGGTACCTCGGTTCGAGGTCAAAGCCTCTCAATTGGCCTCTTACATTGGGGCCAACTGCTATCTAGAGTTTCGCAGATCTTCTTGTCCACAGAGATGAGAACTATTCAGACAGTTATGTCTACACTTCACAAATGGATGTTTCCATAATTCGACACCGGTGATAAGGGTACTCTCAATTTTTGGACATAGGGGTCTTCTCGGAAGCAACTGATGCCTTGGGTGTCTTGTCGCGAAAGCTATATAAGGATCAGGATATTCCACGGATTCTAGATATCATCCACAATCGCAATCCTCTCTTCATTATTACAACTATCTCTCTCTTCTTCAAACGAATAACTCGAAAAACTTCATCAAAATGAGACTCTCTATCCTCTCCGTCATCTCTCTCGTTGGCGCCGGCATGGTGTCCGCCCTTCCCCAGGAGGCCAACCTCTCCCTGAAGCGCTCGGATTCCACCGAGAGCAGCAAGCCTGATACCTCGGAGTGTGTCGGTCCCCTCCTCTGCTGTGGAACTCTCGCCACTCCTCTTGACCCCGTTGTCGACCCGCTCTTGTTGGCTCTCGGCATTGATCTTGCCAACATTGTTGGATCCGTTGGTCTTTTCTGTATGTTCGGACTCTGTGGTATTTACGTGGGTATTCTTCTAACATCTCTCACAGGCCACGGCTACGAGAAGTCCAGCTGTGATACCGAGCCCCAGTGCTGCACAGAGGCCAACCTCCTGGTAAGTTATACTCCTCAAGGCAGACTCTTCCGTGGAGGGTACATGACTAACTCATCTCTAGGGTGGAACCGTTGCCCTCGGATGCGCGGATCTGAAGAAATAGGTCCAGTTTGTTAAAACTGATGACCGATACTCCGTATATATGAGTCTCAAAGCAGACTTGATACATCTGCTCAATCCCCGATGTACAATCTTTCCTGGGGAATATTCCCTTCTACTTTATATAATAGCAATGAATTCAATTGAATTTATACCTGTCAGCTTTTTAGACGCGATGTCGACAAAACTTAGTATCCACTTGTACATTTACTCAATCTCGTTGCATACACTGGGGAGTATAATATCGGATTCTAGATCTCAGGAATTAATCGTATGAATACCCACCACTGCAGAGTTGATAGATCCAGCACAGCCCTTTACACTTATGTCCTCATCGGGCTTGTTCAAGGTGGGTGTGTTAAATGCGATGGCGGAAGAGGAATATCTCAGCTATTTTAGATGTGACTTGATGTGTCCATGTACTTATGTCTATTGCCCCGCATGTTCAGACACGATGGATGCCTGATCTGCCAGGTCTCAACTGAGGATAAGTTAACTAACTAGTTAGCTAGCTTTCATTTGTAGCCTCTCTTTACTCCGCATTTATTTTTCCCTCTCAATATCTAAATGGAGTACTCAAATCTATGGCTGCCCAATATACTCACTTTCAGAATCTTCCTCTCGAACTGCTGGAGATGATATTTCAGCATCTGCGGCTATCACAATATTCCTTTCACAGTCTTGTGTTGACTTGTCGCAGATTCCATGATCTCACAGCTCCCGCACTCTACTCTTCGATTTGCTTGAGGGATCCAGTCAAATGTGAGCAGCTCGCTTGGACTATGCAAAAAGCGCTTGGTTATCCTCTCTTGTCTTAGAGATGCAGGTACACTTGCATACGACTCGAACGGATGACGAGGCTCTCTTTAACGCCATTTTTGAAATGCATAATCTAGAAAAACTGAGCGTGCGGAGCGTGCCGCTCGAAGAAATCCTGGACTCAATAAGCTCCAGGCTGCTCAATATGCTTGCGACAAAGAAGGATAACATTGAGATCGACCCCCACACTCAATACACGGGCCAAAGGCTACGGTCGTGTAAGTCCTAGAATGCAACTCAAGAGAGCAAGTACAAGTCTCAAATTCTCTAGTATATCTCGGGGAAGCCTTCAGAGTCTGTGATCCCCAACCTTGGTGGCTGCTTGGTCCCAACGAGATTGTTTTCTACATGGAAGAGCTTGAGAAGCTCCACATCCAAGGCGCTAAAATCAAAACCTTCCTCCGAGAGCCCCTTGTTGTAAGATCCCCGACCAAGCACACAGCCCTAACAGATCTTGCCTTGCTCAACTGTGATGTCGCACCACATACACTTGCACAAATCCTCAGCTTCCCCAAGGGTCTTACCCACTTCACAATGAAAGGTCGATTTCCGGGCACGACCGGGCCATTCGAATACAATCTCAGGCCAAGTGATTACATTGAAAAAATCAATCAGAGCAGCTCTGCGGGTGTGCAGTATCTTGATTTTGACATGTGGAATGCAGATGACTACCCAGATTTCCGTCACTTGGAGGGTTTGAAACAACTTACTATCTCTACAGATCTATATCAATACTTTATCTGGGAATCGGATGAGCTAGCTTTTCGTCAGTCTTTTCCTGTTAGTTTGGAGACTCTCACATTGGATGATTTCTTTCCAACGGATGTGCTATTTGATACCTTGCTTGACAAGGTGGAGGAAGGGCAGCTTCCGAATTTGCGTACGATTACACATAGGCATTTCTATCCCGAGGGCAATCAAGAGGAGGTGGACATGGAGTGGGAGATTGAAGAGTTTCGAAAATTGGGGGTGGAGTTTTCTCCTGTTTCCTTTGAAAGTCCATCTATGATGCCCGAGAACGATAATTGGCCATGCCACTGCTGGATCTATCATCGTACGGCTGAGTGGTATGTATTGGATGAGTGGTAAATATTAAACGCTCATACTTATGTTTCCAACCCCTCTTCGATCTTCTAAATATATTAGGCAACAGCTTTCCTCTCACCTGAATCTCGGACTTCCCCAAAACATTTACATAGTTTAAATTGGTCTAATAAAGATTCAGGAAATTATATCTCGTTTATTCGAGGTTTTGAATTCTGTTATCATGGACAGTGACAATGCCCAAACCAGCACTCTCAACGGGGATGGCAACACCATAACTCGAAGCTGTCTCACAAACTGCACTATCAATAATTCCTGCGTGAAGCGATCTACCCTGAGCGACTGTGTGTTATCAAACGTGGAGGACATGAGCCGAATCACAGCTCAAAAATCCCAATTCAATGACGCGGCCATTGTCGAGCGCAGCGATATCACAGAGAGCACTATACAATCACAAAGTTCGGTATGCCGATCCACGATCGGAAGGTCGGTCATCCAGGACAAAAGCACAGTGAAACGGAGTACCGTGACCGGAACGACGGTCTCAAACAGTCAACTCGAGAGAGCTACATTGACCGACTGTATTATCACCGAGTGCACTATCGAGCGGTGTGACTTCCAAGGACTGGTTCTTAAATATGGTATTTGGAGGCGAAATGAGTTGATTGGGAAGATCGGGAATCATGATCCTACTTTTATTAGGAATCATGGTCCACGGGCCGGGGTAAGTTGATTGCATATGAATTATCAAGAAGCTGTATAACTGACGATATTCAATAGCAATCTGCATCTGTGGCCGTTGGATCTACCATCCCTGAATTAGATTCTAAGAGTCATGCTCGACAGGGTGATCCTCCCCCTAGCTACGATGATGACTCGTATACTAGTGGGGATAGTGGGGTTGATTGTGGTGATCTACCTCCGCCATACAAGCCCTAACATATTGTGGAGGGGTGGCTTGTCTTGATGAGTTATAGGCATTCCTTTTTGTTATTTAAATACCCATGACCTGCTGTGGCGCGTTTTCTATTAAAATCGTTCGATCATGAAGAATATCATGTGGATTATAAGCAGGATAAGGGTTTGCGAGGCATCTGACTGCTAGGACGAGGGCTGAAGGATGAAGGCGACAAACGTAGGGCTTAGGGTCCTTCGGAGCGGGGGAAATCGGGGAAGTAGGGCAATCAAGGATTCTAAAATAGAGATTCAGACTCTAGATATGCAGCTAAAAGGTCATATGCAAGGCTATCTGACAAGAACCTGAAAAGATGTTTCATGTTGCATGTTGCACTAAGGCTTTGCTTGCTTACATGAAGTTTGTCAGAGCTTTCTTTACCACTTTTGAGATATTTTCAGGCCTTTATCTCTTTGTCGTGTGTCCCTATAAAGCTATTTTGAGAGCTTCGTCGCAGTACATCATGGAGACAGACAGTTCTCCCTACTACTCCATTATATATTTTTTATTACAGATATAGAAGTGAAATTATTGGATGGTCCCATCTCCCACTGCTTGCTTGCTGGCAGACTGAGCGATTGTTTGCTAGACCCCAGAATATAAATACCCTGCTTTTTTTATAGATTGATGAATGGACACTTCTTCCTTCTCTCTCTCCTGCAGCCAGTAGCCAGCACAAAAGTTTATGGTGGGCACCTGTGGCAACTGGCTGCAATAAACTACTGCACCTTGAGTACTTTTGTCGTGCAGTATACCATCCTCTGGGAATGTTGCTCCGCCCGTCTTGTCGATATGTTCTATCATGCCTGCAGAGAGCATGCATGAATTCAGCCACCCATGCGCGTCCATCTTATCACACAGAAACTAAATGATGACTCTCCCTCTCCCGGTTCCCCTCAGCTCGTCACCAAGGACATATCTGGCCACCACCCGCTATGCCCACAACCCGGCTGTCATTCTTGAAGCTACGGTGTAGGAAACAGGCGCGGAAACGCTGTGGTTTGGCTACCGTTCTTCCATATGGTGCTCGTCAGTTTCACAAATACTGAGGAATTCCAAGAGGAATTAGATTCGTCAACCTTGACGGTCCAAGAGGCGTTGAGTCCTTGAACACTGATTGGATGCTCCCATTCGAATTTCAACTTGCAACAGGACACCAGAAATCTACGCGAGCATGTCAAGCTAGCCAATCTGGAAGGGGCGCCAGCTAAAAATATGTTTCAACAAATGCCACTTCTGTACGATATGGGACATGCTCTGAACTGGTCCATGTTGAATTCCTCTTTGCGGTGATGAACACTTCAGAGGAGATCCATTCGAGGGGAGGGTGCCCAACTGATGCTTAGCGCCACCAATAATATCGACTTTGTCCTCGTAGTCGCACTGCCGTGCGTGCCCTTAAACAACCATGCCTTCTTCTCGGTCTCACAGAGACAGAGAGCTTGACATTGAATACTACAAGGTTGGAGACGAACAAGATATTGCAGGCAGTTGCCCCAAGATTAAGGGATCTGCCAACTGGAGAGACTGGGAGACAGCTCTCAGTGCTGCTCTCGGTGCCAGCAATCGCTACTATTTCGAATGATTATGCATGGGGTCAAATATCCCTCTCCTCCTCCCTATGAATCCGCTAAACCGGAAGACGTTCACAGCCTTCTCATTGAAGAAAAGGTTGAGAATATTGACAACGTCAAGATTCGTGCTCGTACGAAGGAAATCCTCGATGAAAACAAGCGTCTTAAAGCGGCTTACGAAGACAACTGTTCTAAGTGGGAAAAATGTAACAACCGAGCGTTGATGACCATGAAGAAGACTCTCATCGTTGGCCCTCTCTCGGAGATTTCTCAGATAATGGAAGTGCGAGAGGCCTTTCAACAGCCTCGGTCAATGTACTGTACCTCTTCGCGCCAACAGGTCTACGTTATTTACACCAAATTTGTTGAACTTCGCTATAAAGGGAGCGGTGGTGCTGCCGCTGCGGACTTTGTACGCATATTTCAAGAAGCCCTGCGAGATTTAAACCAAATAACAGGCTGCCTTCTGCCTTCTATTGTGGAGCTCTCTCAATTCAAGAAAGCCATCAACACCATTGGCCCAGAATGGGTTTATTCTTCCTACCGATAGGAACGAAATTCTGAAGCCAGCTAGCGAAAGTCCAGACAAGCTTCACTACTGGATTACTACCATATTCAACAAAAGAAAGCTGATAATAATCAACTGATCATGATATCAAGTGGCAATGGGAGCAGGAATTACAGCAAACTCAACACACCGAGGGTACCCGTGTCAGTATGGATTCAAAAGTGGGAGAATACATCATACTTGAGCGACAAATGCAGCCAGCAAGCTCTTCTCGCAGTAACTACCATCAACATCGAGTTAGGGGAGCTCAAGGAGAGTGAAGAGTGCATCTGGGTGGGACGTATCCCCCCACGTGTGGCTCAGCCTCTCTGATGTGTAGAAAGGACCTGACACGGCCTGCCCACAGAAGTTCACTTCGAAGACACCAAAATCTTCTAAGCTCCCTCCTTCCCCCCCGGGCCGTGAGACTGAAAGTTCTCTTCCGCACAGTGTATTTCTTCCGGCGCTGCAAGTCTACATTGGCTTGTGCCGCGGGAAACACATCTACAGGGCCGAGGATGTGGATGTGGACCGGGTCGTGCAAATGGACACTATGTCTCCCCTAGGTACTCTTGTCCAATGAAAAGAACAACGCCCGCACAAAACCTGAGGCCTGGAATTCCGAGACAACTGGACTACCTTATTTCCTCTCTTGTTAGCCATTGACCATATTGCCCAAGACTGTTCATGACAACTCTCATCACTCACCACGGAGTTTCCTTCGTACGCCGACACCACCGGACAGATTCGGTATGGAGTCCAAAGAATAGGCACCTAAACGATGCTGGGGTCATTTACGCGTTCCCGAGACTGCCTGCAAAGTATAGATCAGAGGATTTGACATCTGACTTTGACAAGCAGGGAAAAGTGCTGAAGACACATGTACTAGGGCCAGTACTTGCTTATCTTATTTCCTTCAAGCTTTTCTCACTATTTATCACGATGCTACCCCTAATTACAACCTTACATTATCATTTGTCCCTCTTATAGTTTTGTTCGAGAGCCATGTGACTTTGCTGTTTGCTCCCAGTACTTAGTCTTAGCACTGTAGATAGTTTCTTCTCTTCTTCACGCAACTCAGCAAATTTTCCAGAGCATCATATCTCATCTCTCAGTAGATCTCTAGACTCTCTGCCTCTCATTTTTCTTCATTGAAGAATCTGTATTGTCCCTGAGTTAGTGTTATTAAGCACTACGAGTAAGCTAAGACTGACTCAGAACCCTAGAAAGCCTCTAGAAGAAAATGCTAAAATTGCCTAGAATTATATTCTTCTATGTCCCATACATAAATGGTCACCTCTTCGATTTCTCGAACCCTAAGTGCCAAGATATTTAGATTAATTGTTTTTCTGAGAAAAAAAGGGTACTAAGCGAATTAAGGAAAGACATGGTCGGAAGCATAGATAGTTGGGGGGCCGAGGACACCTTCCTGTGCAAAAGCATTATATATAGTGCCAATTGATGAACTGCCCCATCGCTCTACGGCTTCAGAAAGTGATGGACCGGATAACCTCCCCTTCGGTTAAAAAGCAGCGTTTCACAGGGTCTTTACCCACTCCACACCTCGCGTCTACTTTGATTCTCAGCCGCTGAATTTGTCGATCCCGGGTCTGAGGCCCCTGTGGAGTAGTTTCAGGCTCAAAAGTCCGTCCCCTCATTTTCTTCAGTGTTTATGACTCTGTTAACTCTTCAAATACTCCAAACGTCCAAGTCATGCTCGAGAACTGGCAGCAAGTGCGCACATACCCTGACCATCTGGGTCACCGCGTGGTGCTCGAGCAGTTCATCGAGCCAGGCTTCTCTCCAGATCCCGACCACCTGGTTTCCATCCAGGTCTACAGCCTTGTACACCTGGACGACGACCACGAACAGCTGCGGAATTACCTGATGCAAAGTTTCTGGCACGAAGAGGTCAAGCCTTTGTTCGAAATCTATTCATACCACCCACCCGACGCCTTCGCCTGTATTGAGCATAACCGCCTTGAAATCGCCCGCCGCAAGCAGCAACACCAGTCAGGGATCGAGAATCCACTTCCGCTAATCCCGCAATTCACCCGTAGCGACGACTCGACTGTTGGGTTTTGTGTCCTACTGCGATCGCATAGCTATCGACTAGGTCGTATTGAGGACTCGGACGAGCTTGCTAAGCTGGGCGAAGGCCCGGACTTGCTCTATTTCAACCGCTCGTTTTCTAGCACGCGTAGTGATGTTGACGAGACGCAGCGTTTATCCGAGCACGAGAATCTCTCGCCAGAAGCATTTGAGTTAGCCACCGATCGTGTCATAGACCAGAGTTATATCGGCCAGATTATCATGCTCGATATCTTTAATAACGTCGCTTGCCCCGAGCTGCGATATGGCTTAGATATAGACGAGGGTGCGCCTCCTAGCTCAAATATGCCGTCAGAAGAGCAGATACGCGACCAGCTAGGCCAGGAAACTTCAGTTGGCGGCTTCTATCTTGATCCGGCATTCCAGATTTCTCAGGATACCGACATAATAATAGTCACCAATACTCCTAAGGGAAACATTCCTGATCTTCAATACGTTGTCCATGCGCTTTTTCTCAACTCCATCCGCGACATAGGGTCCTCCCTTTTAGAAAGCACAGCGCGCCTCTTCACAGCGTCAATTGTCTCCCACCTTCCGGCCAATAAAACCCTCACTCTCAAATTCTTCATCCCAAAGTCCCCTTCCTGGTCGGCCATCCGCCTCGCCCAAACCGAAGTTCTCGAAGTTCAATCCCACCAAACCCAAGGAGGGGACCGAGAAGATCCCTTCCCCATCGGCGCCCTACACATCTTCCCCGGCGACGAACAATCCTCCACACACCGCATCACCCCCCAAGAACCTGAACAATATATCATCGCAGCACAAGGGACATCCAGCACGATCTTTCGTCTGTTCACAGTTGTGCTCGATCGTGCCAAGTTTGTCTCCGAGGCCGGAGTTTACTTCTACATGGCGGACTGGGATGCGTCCGAGGACCCTTACTCTGAGGACGGCCCAGATAATACGCAAGTTTTGCGGTGCGTGGATATGAATACGACTGCCGGACGGTTGGGGATGGTTGTTCTTGACGGGTAATCTGGTTTGGTGGTTTATAACATCTCTTTTGGAGGTATACTAGTTTTGGCTTCCGGGGCAGCTGAGCTATCGTATATGGTAAATATATAAAGACTTCAGCGTCACCTAGCCAGATAAACCTCTGGATTTTACGATGGATTGGGAAATGCAAAACGAGCAAAAGAAAGCATATCAAAGCTTGTGAATCCGGTCTGCGGCATAACCAAGTTCCTCGAGGACTCCCTTCTTGCTCGAAGTCCAACCTTTACTTCCAAAAATTGACACCTCCATAGCGGGAGGCCCACATAGAAAGATCTTGGTAGCCTTGCTATCTTTCGGGCCTAGTAATTCCTTTTCTAGTAACTCCTTGGTGATCCTGCCCTTAATAAACGGGGAACCCTTAACCGGGTCTGAGACTGTATATACAATCTTAAGACGATCGGAGAACTTCTGTTCTAACGCATCGAGTTCTTTCTTCATGATAAGATCCTTGTCGGTGTTGACACCGAAAATCAGTTTGATCTTGCTTTTGTCCTCGGGGTTGTTCAGCATTCCTTGGATTAGCTGATACATAGGAGTAATGCCGGCACCGCCAGCGATGAGGTTGACGTGCTCGAATTCATTTGTTTTCCATCTGTAACCCGGCATAGGTCCTCGAATTTTCAGTGTATCACCAGGTTGGAGAGAGTGCAGATATCCGCTTGCTCTGCCATTGGGATATTTCTTGACCAGGAGCTCAATGTACCCTGGCTCATCTGCACATGCACGGTAGAACAAAAATGGGTCAATTTCGCTCGGGAACTGGAGTTCGAAATCTTACCGAAATTGTTAATTGGGGTATAGGGCCTAATTACGGGAAACCAGGCGTCTTGTGGCTTATGGAACGTGAGAATGAATGCTGAACTTGATATTAGCTGTTTTTCTTATTGTTTTCATTTGTCGTTCGTGGAAGTATAGGTGAGCTTACAGGCCAAGCAGAGACCCGCGTTCGAGGCTGGGTCTGGTAATTGGAAGCGCAGACGTTTGGTGTTGTCGTTCACTTGCTGGGAACTTTCTAGGCGTAGAGTGTGAAAGCCCATTCTTCCCCCAGAGCCGAAACCAGGTCCACCGCGCCCACCTGGGCCACCATGACCTCCAGGACCTCCACAGGGCTTTGGGGACTCTGCAAATCCTTCATTGCGGAATGAGGCTCTTCGAGCAGCACATAGTCCAATCACACCAACCACAATAACGGCGGCGACAGTCTTTCGAGGGAATGGGCGTGCTCCGGACATAACTGTAATGTGAATGTAAATGAAAGAGAAAAGGAAGGGAAACGGTTGAGAGAAATAAATCAGGGACCATCTGACTCTACGTAATATTTGCAAAACGTACCCCTGTAGCTTCGTTTGTGGCCTGTTGGGGCTACAATTACCCGCATCGGTTATTACACTCAAACGCGCTAGTCATGGACCAGTGGTAGATTTTTATGCATGGCAATTCCTGATTGGAGAAGCTATATTATCGGGGCCTACTCTATTGTACTCCGTGCTTGACACGGGGTTTGTAAAGATCGACTAAATCCGATGCTCACCTAAATATCGATTCTTTGTTTAACGTTCTCTATTAGCCATTATCTTTGAAAATGTCTATATATATTGAAGCATTGTTATCGACACTAGTGACTAATTCTAAGGCTGAATTACAGTTTTAGGCTCGATATAGTCGAAATGACCTAAACCCGAAAACGAGGGCCCATGCTGCGGACCCTGTAGCATACAGCCTCCAAGTTCAAGAAGTTAGTTGAATTTAAGATGGGAGACTTTATACCGACCATGGGGAATATATGTGGGGCCTATCGCAGTTAGATTTCAATTTCAGATCCAGTATGGAGTAGATCAGGACTGTCTTATCCCAAAAGCAACATAACCTCGTCACTATTCATACCGTATTGGAATTCATCCAATGAGTCATTGTAATACTGTCTTCATTGTGGGGTATAGCTTACTCTACCTTCCCTTTCCTTTCTTTATTATTCCGAGCTTTTATCTTTATCTGCGTGTAACTCAGACTGTGTGCTCTTGCAATTGAGGTTTGACACTGGTAGGTCCAAATGATTCTTCTTATTTACTATGGCTTTCGTTCTCTCCCATCGCTTCTACTACCTAGCATCTGGCCTCAAATGTTATCCACCTAGACTAAAGGCGATCTCTAGAGTTTTAACTGCTCCTTCGCCGCTGCCCCCATTTGCCCTGTAGGCTCATAAGTTTGCCTCAATCTCGCTATCTAATATTCAACACAAATGGTCGAGCTTCGAACGATTGGTCCCGACGAATGGGAGATATGGAAACATCAAAGACTGGCCGCGCTTACAAAAGCACCCTATGCATTCTCATCAAAGCTCGCGGACTGGGAGAATGTGTCTGAACAACGGTGGCGCGACAGACTTAGCATACGCGGCGGCTACCAAGTGGTTGCTTCTCTCCAAGACACGATAGTGGGCATGGCCGGGGGGATTCTGCTTCCCGAGCCTGGGGTTGCAGAGCTTATATCTATGTGGGTAGCTCCCTCTGCACGAGGTCGTGGTGTTGGGGATGCACTAGTGGCTGCTGTTGAGGAATGGGCCTACGGCGTTGGTGCCATCACTCTTAAACTATCTGTGGCGGAGAATAATGAATCAGCTCGTAAGCTATACGTCCGGAATGGGTTTGTCAATGTTGAGCTTGAAAGCAATGATATGGAGGTTAATGAGATGTGCGGTGAGCTTGTTATGATAAAGAAAAAGCCGTCGGTTTAGCCTCGAGTTTATCCGATGCCACGTGAGAAGGGATCAAGATGATAAAAGTTGAGGTATATAGCAAGGAAGCCCAAAATAGCATTTATTCTATCTCATAATATCGCCTGAAAAGCCGTAGCTTGAGCGAGCTCCTCTAAGTACGAGGTTCAGCGAGCTGATACTACAGAGCACTTCTCGCATCGGTAGTGTTATGCTCTATCCCTCGATCTATACGATATGAAGGGACGTGAAAGCTTCCGAGCTGTTTATTATTTTACCTAGTGATCCCAATTTCCGGAAGTACTATATCGGAGTTCTGATGGTGTAGGGATGGTCGGGTTTTGTCGGGTTTTGCGCAAACCCGATCACCGCTACCCCTGCCACTCGATTCCTTTTTAAAGTGCTTAAGAATCAGTTGAACCATCTAGGTAATCTAAATGTATTGGATTGATTTAACAATGAAATACTGGTTGACATAGTGGCTTCCTTTACCGCCATGTCATCTGGTACCGCAAAATGGAGAATGTAATGCTCTGCTTTCCCATCATATTGTTTATATTGTCACAGGAATTCCCGACCAATGTAGTATAGTGCAATTTGAGTTAAAATTTCCCCAATTTGGAGACTCCAAACTCGAATGTCTGTGCTACGGAATGTGTTTGACCTACAAACAGCATACTTCCCAAGCTCTGGCAATCTAGATAGCAGATAAATCGCTTTATGAATTCTAGGGGTAGGGATAATCCTACTGCAAAGTTGAAAATTCTAGATATATTGAAATCAACTTGCAAGCATCTATGGATACAATCTTAAAAGATATGTCAAAGTTTTGACCTTTTTGACAGAGCGCTAATATTTCGTTCCCATTGTTTGTCAATCCTAACTCGCATATCAAGCGAGACTTGCTCCCAGGCCTTTTGGAACTTATATTTCCGCTCTTTCCAACAAGATGTTATGGAGCCAATGAAATCAGCACTGGCCTTTGCACTTTCATGGACGCGCTCCATAGGGATCAAGTGGCCGCAAGGAAGAACAACTTCCTGCACTCGACCGCAAGACGCACCGCCGCTGCCTCCCACACCTGCGCCAGTTATTTTTACTTTCTCTTGGCGATTAGCCGTAGATGTAAGGTATGAGTTTTCGCCAAACAGATAAAGCACACTGGGCTTTACCTCTGGCAAGCGGTGAAATATATATGCGGGCTCGGGGCGATAAAAAGGGATGTCTTCGATGTCGTCCGGATGCAGCTCCTTGAGAGGATTCCCACAAGCAAGACCGCTTCGCTCGTCAACATAAGATGGCCGCGCGAAGTTGAAAACCTCCTGGGCTTTGGTTGTAGTCAATGTGACAGCAGGGGGCGTCGCGTTGCTTGGAGTGGGATATAACTTTGTGGGAAGATCTCGGAGTCCGAAATTGACCCATTTCTGGAAAACACGCGGATCCCATGTTTGATAAAAAGGACTCGATAGAAATTTCTCTGCAGCTTGTTCGCGAGAAGCCCAAAGGTCACGTCTATATGTGGACGGTAGAGCGTATCTGGGGCCAGGATTATCTAACAGGATCACTGGATCCATGAGTATCAGAGCCTCAAAAAGAGACGGGTGCATCAAGGAAAGATGGACTCTGGGACTTGTTAACTAACGAAGACTTTGGGGACATTAAGGTGAACTTACAGTTGTGTCCCGCCCATACTGTGGCCCACGCCGATGACTGGCTGAACAATCTCAAATTGGTTGATCAGAAAAAGCATGTCGCGTGCGTGATCATACCAGCTCGCTAACGGAATTCAGTCCCCTTTCGATTGATTGTGTTTTTGATAAACTCACGATCATCTCCTAGAATAGACTCGTTCAGAATACCGCTCTTGCCCTGTTGAGCAACATCTGCAATCCAAATGGCTCGAATCCGTTTGTTCTGGCTACACAGTCTCTCGTAGATATCATCCCAAAGAGGCTCGTATACCTCCTTTGTTATATTTCAGCCAATATTCACCCAGGTGATATTATGCAGGGGGTGATACTTTGGGAAATCCATTGGCATGCGCCCCAATAATTGTGACATCCCCTTCTTGTGGGGACGGATTGTCAAATGGAACATATTGCTTCACCGCAAGTCTAATATCCCGTTCATGTCCTGCTTTAACAGCACCCGGGCGCTCTCGTATATTCTGACCCCGAATTGTGTGTTCAGTTACCTGAAAATAAGACATGTTCCTGATGGATACGGGCATATATCGATTGACTGAGGGGATTTGTTGGGACAAACGCAGCGTGAAAAGTGATCAAATTGATGAAAACAAGAGAGATGCGCTTTCCACTCGATGGCCGTAACTAGTTACATATTTATTTCCCAATACGATTAGGAAAATGAATTTGATTTTGCCGAGACTCTCGGTGTCCCTTCGAGGATCAATTTCCCAATTTCCCCGATTCGCCTCCCCAATTTTGCCGACTCAAGCTTGTGTACCGTAGGTTTTAGGTATTTTTGACTGGCAGAAAATTGGCTAACTAGGCACAGCCGGGGTTGCCCGCGCCCCGGGGGCCCGGGCCATCTAGAGATGGAGCCTAAGCATCTATATTTAAAAAAGAATGAATGATATAAGTCTAGGTATACAGGCGAGAATAAAGGGATGATTAGATTATGTGTGTGGTGTGATGGCTACTAAAACCTGTCGTACTGGTGTTAAACAGTAGAGACTGTGGTAGCTTGATACTGAGAACTGAGTTAAAATAATAAAATGGGTGTAACTGGGAGAGATCAAATTGCTCAACCCTGAGCGCTATAGTTATATCTTCGTAGGCATATCTCCTTAATATGAAACATGAGGCTAAGGCACAGCCGTCACCAGAAAAGCGAGGCACTTGAATGATTTCTCGCACATTCTGTTCTTCAAGAATACTTGTTCGCTTTGAAGATGTCCATATTGGTTTCCCAGCCCTAAATCAAAACAAAAGAAATGGCGGCTGAGTAAACAAGCCCCAACTGCAACAGCGTGGATCAATGAATGTAAGCTCCCTCAAAACAGTGCTGAGCCTTTCCATTTAAAGTCTTGATTGCCTGTTGGGCAGTTATCTCCACCGCCTTTCTCGATTCATCAAGATGAGAGCATTCTGACCCCTGACTGAATTCACTACGTGGGTGATCCTTGCTTATTTTGCTTATTCTGAGGCCCGCAGTAAGCTGACCGTGCATGGGGAAGATTATTAAGCATTTGAGTAATGCAGAGTAATAATTCCTAGCTATTCATTGATCAAGAGCTCTATAACCCTTCACTCTTGATTGCTGACGAATACTTCAATGCTTTACTAAGACCACGAATAGCAAAAGGACATGGGGATGACCTTGCATCTATTAGCAAGCAATCATGGCCCCAAGCAAGCGTAGACTCTGTTTGCCAAGGTCATAATTGTCACGCTTGAGGAAATAGTGTAAGTATTTGATGTGGTTCACGCCTCTTTCGTTTGGGAAACCTAGCTCCTGCCACGACTCCATCTCACTTTTGGCAATCAGGTCGATCTCTTCCTTCGACAAGTTTTGAATCCCACCATGACCTCTACTATTGTCCTCATTACCGGCGCCAACCGCGGCATCGGCAAAGGTATCTTGGAACTGTACCTGAAGAAGCCCAACCACTTCGTGATCGCGGCGAACCGTGACCCAAGTCACCCAACCTCCAATGCCTTGGCAGATCTTCCAAAAGCCGAAGGCACTACGTTGGAGATCATCAAGATTGATGCTCTCTTCCCCACTGACCCAACTGCAGCAGTGAATGCATTAACCGCCAAGGGAATTACCCATATCGATATCCTAGTCGCCAACGCTGGTATCGCTCTTTCTTGGCCAAAGGTGTCGGACGTCAAAGTGGAGGATATCCAGAAGCACATTGACGTCAATGTGTATGGTTTTGTTCATCTCTACCAGGCTTTCCGGTCCCTTCTCAAGGAAGCCCAGGCTCCCAAGTGGGTAACAATCGGATCTAGCTCCGCCTTCTTTACGGTAAGTGCCGTCGGTCTATTCTCTCTAACCTAAACCAGGTGCTAATATTATCCATAGTAAGTGTTCTTTCGATACTAGTCCACTTGCCCATGGCATATGTCACCTATAACCGGGCCTAAACAAGTGCACTAACCATTCGTAGGAACTTTATCCCCATGCAAAATGCTGCATACGCTCCCACAAAAGCTATTCAGCACTGGTACACGAAGGCAATTTCTATTGAAGATTCTTGGCTGAACGCCTTTCCGGTGGATCCGGGGTAGGCTTCACATCTTCAAGCCCGAAGTGTTTTTGCGTGGACTGACCATGATATCGAAATAGCTGGGTTCAGACTGATCTCGGCAACCGAGGCGCCGATGCTTTCGGTTTCGAGAAAGCCGCCGTTACCGTGGAAGACAGTGCTGCCGGCGTAGTCAAGGTCATTGACGCGTCTACGCTGCAAACTCACAGTGGGAAGTTGTTCAAGTTTGATGGCAATGAGGAGCCTTGGTAGATACCGGTCTACCACTCCAATTGCTGTGGTTGGAAAGGGGCGGCGAAAATGGCATGATTCGTTTAAGATTCCCCTTTGGTATACCTGTAGCTTCTCAATTGGTTACGAGGCTTGGTAGCGTATCGATAAACCTGGGATTGATATGAATGCTTTGAATCCCGGAATTCACTTTAACTCCTCATCTTCAAGCTTTCTAAGGGAATATATTTACTAAATGTGCTAGGCTCCATCACGCTTTATCGCTGTCCATCCATCAGCGGCACGATCATGCCTGTATATGGACATTTCTGTGCTTTTGCGTCGATATCCGCGCCTTCCTGGAGAAGCATCAAAATTCCAGCCTCGAAAGCTCTATCTACAGACATATGCAACGGAGTCCAACCAGCATTGTCGTACGCATCAAGATCCAAACTGCATTCGTACTTGGCACGATGTTCAAGCAATTGCTGCAGTATCCCGAATCGCCGATACAACACCGCCCAATGCAGTGCCGAGCGACCATCGCAATCATACACGCCTATTCGAGCACCGTGGGAGAGTAGTAGGCGGACTACAGAATCGTGATTCTCAATGATGGCGTGTATCAAGGGTGTCCGACCGTCACTATCTTGCTTGTTTGCATCCATGTTACCCCGCAACAAAAGAACTCGAACAATCCTCTCGTGCCCCTTCTGAGCGGCAATGTGAAGCGTGCCAATCCATCCCTTGTCACTTCTGGCCGATGTAATGAGTTCCAACACCGTGTCGTCGTTGTGTGACTTCGGGAGCTGGGGGCCCGGACTCTCAGGGCGAATATCAGAGTCGGATGTTCTGCGATATAACATCGGTCTAGGACTATCCCCATGTCGAGAGAGCAGCCTCGCATGATCGTTTTCTGCGCTATTGGAGGGTGTCCGGGGTGAAGCAGGGTCGGGGGATTTGCTTTGGGTGGAATTCGTTCCTGTCAAACTTGGCTGGACAGGCATTGGATCGGACAAAAGAAAGGAGAAATCATTGTTGGTTTGGTACAAGAACTGGTCGATCGCATCGAGATTAAAGTGTTCTACCGGCCCTGGCTGTGTGCTAGCGATCGAAGTTTCGCTTGGAGGAAAAGCTCCGCCGGGTCTGGTGAGCGCGCTTGCGAACAAAGGCAAGGATTCCATTGGAAAGTCCCCATTGTTGTTGGCTGTTGGCGTTGATTGTAATGGTGCTCTGAAGGTTCCACTTGCATCTTGAGGCGTCTCTAGGACGGCATTATTCGCGACCCTCCGCCTCTTCTCTATCATCACGATTCCGATCAGCAGGAGATCGACACGGGCTATTGCATAATAGCCACTCACCACGGAATTTGCGCTGAGCTAGGCGATTTTGAGTACGTCGCCGCTCGGCCGTATCGGCCATGAACTGGACATTGCCGTCCATCCTCCCTTAAGACAGTCTTTGAAATAATAATGTTCGAACCTAGGAAATGCGATCTCACGTTGAATGAAATGCAGAGCCCCGCAGATCCCCGTCGGTCACGTTAATGGCCGGCCGAGCAGTGGGCTAGGTTCTTAGCATTTGGGCCAATCACCTTAATCAAATAAGGCCCCCATTCGTCTTCGCTAAGATCACGTTGCAACCTAGGTTGCACGCCATCGAGTTTCCGCTAAAATCTTACTCATCGCGGGTTGACTCATAGGCGTCCAATGGAACACGTTGTGGATGTTTTTGAAGTTCCACTGAAGGAAGTCGAATAGGGGGGCATAAGTGGGTGGGTGCGTGGGCCTGATGGGCTCGGCCCGTGGCCGTAGTTGAGACACTAACACGTGGAGGATACGCTCTAACCCGAAGTAGATATCCTCGAAACACACCCATCTCTGTCGTGTTCTTGATCTATCTTGTAGAAACGATGGTGTTGAACTACTGAAACAAAGAGGACACTGACCTCTTTATCTGAGGGCTATTACTCGGGAGAATTGGTGACCTCCTGTGGCACATTTTCTACTAAACTTTGTTAAATTACCAACAACATCATCGAGACCTATAGATTATAAACATGGGCGTGATCCGCTTGCGAGGCATTCTAACTCTTAGGACCAGCGACAACATACTGCTTCTCAGTCTTGAGGTTATCAAGCATGTCATCACTGAGGTTGAGTGTATCCGCAACGATTTGTCTCGGCGTGGACGCGATCCATTGACCAAGAGCCATATCTAAGCCGTCAGCACATGAAACCTCAAAGATATGGCAAAGGAAAAACATACCTGTAAACTCAGGTGCCTGGAGCACTTCCACAAATACCAAATTTTCATCGCCGGTATTCTCAATATAATGGCTACTAGACTTTGGGAAGTAGCCAACATCACCACCGGCGTAATCAAATGTAGTCGCAGCATTTGGGGCAGTGAAGAGCGTTGCTCGGCCCTGACCCGAAATAAAGAAAGTCCACTCGTCACTAGTTGGATGCCAGTGGATTTCACGCATGCCGCCTGGATGAACGGTAACAACAGCGGCGGAGAAGTTTCTAGCAATGGGGAAAGTGAGTGGGTCGACGATCTTGACTGAACCGCCGGCGACTTCGTGGGCTGGCTGCTCGGAAAAGTGATATGAGTAGCTCTGATCGCGAGGTACGAGGCCAGCAGTTGTCGTCACATTCTGTTTCTGGATGTCTGCCGGGGCGGGCGTGCCCTTGAAGATGTATAGTTCGTCTTCGGGGATCTTTTCAAATGCTGATAAATCAACCCCAAAGTTCTTTGAGAGCACCTCTCTCTGTGTGGAGTGTTAGCAAATTGGATTTTATTCAACGCGAGATTTGTTTTTCTTTACCGGGGTGTGGAGGAAGACCTCTGTTGCCAGGAATGTATTATCCTCGCTAAAGTCTCCATCGTCGAACACCAGAAGGAACTCGACTCCATCATCGAGGGCTTGAATAGAATGAGGAACGCCACTAACAATCAAATCATCAGCATAAATCGTTATTTCCGCATATCACAATACTCACGGTGGGAAGTACCACACATCGCCGGCAGCAACGTCGTCAATAAATGTCTCGCCGTTCTCGTTCACAGCCTGGCAGCCTTGTTAGTACTTATTTTAGTCAGTTCGAGATAAGCAAATACCTGGATTCGACACGATCCATTCAGCACCAAGGACCATTCAGCGGCCACATGCCAATGAAGTTCACGGTAACCGGCAGGTGCCAGGCGCATATCGACACCGGCCATGAGCGTCGCATCTGGCATAACATTTGTGTTCTCTTGGCGAGCCCAACCAGCTCCATCAATTCCAAATCTTTTAGAAAACGTGAGTATCTCCATTTTCCTTGTTCGGGAATGAAATATTACCTGTTGTGACTCAACCCTAAGATACAGTTAGCAAATTGAAAATTTCACCGCGGAAACTGGTAGCTTACCCATCGGCCACTGCGCATTGATGGTCTGTCCATGATCGGTTCCAGGAGGTGCAAGCTTATCACTATTGATTCTGTCATAGTAATAGTTTCCTACGATAAATGTCAATATACTCAGTATGCAGTCAAATCGCGGGATAGCATTGACGGGGCTCGTACTCGGGCCAGGATCATCAGCACCGGTAGTACCACGGATCGGCTGGGGATTGTCTGCCTTCTCGAAATCGAGGTATGACCCAATTTTGGGATCTTCCTTCTGCCCGGCAAGAAGTGTATACTTGATGTCGGGTGGTGAGTCGCTGCCACCAGTATTGGATGGTGAGTATCCGACTAGCGATCCGCTTCCTCGAAGACCGGGATTGGGGGTATCCCTGCGAGCAGGGGCACCATGCACCAAAGGTAACACGACAGGAAGTAGAGTAACAAAATGTTGGAGCTTCATTTTGATATTCTCGGGGGGAACTAGGAAGACAGTAGGTTGATCCAGAATAAAACGCGCTCTATTATCACGTCCCAGGTCGCCCCTTATATGTCTACCCAAAGCTTGAGATTGGTAGACGAAAGTCCAATATTATCAATTAGAAGCTTATGAATCCGCTTTCGTGTTTCTCGCATTGCATCATAGCTTCCCCCCAATCCGATGGGGTTTCTCCAGTATTGTTCAGAATTGTACTGGGTTTCCCCTCATCGCGACGCCAAACGATGCAAGGCAGTGGAAGCTCGGCTCTAAAGCACCCGATATGCGTTATTATTATCTGCCAGATGATATAACCATAAGCGGGGGACAAGAGAATGGGTACGGAGAAGCCGATGGATTGGGGAGAGGGAGGCCTCACGTGTGAGACCACCCCTCACCGGCAGCGATCAGTCCAGGTCTTCGATGCAACCCAGCACTCCGCTCGGCCTCGGGGATTGATTTAAAATAGCCAGGAAAGGTACGGAGTACTCCGTGGTAGTCCCCGCATCACCGCTTGCTGCATGTCGCAATACCAGCCGAAGCCGGAAGCGGGATGGACTATAGAAGCAATAACTTCGGGCAGCTGCAGGTGGCTTGGATCTAGGTCTTCTGACTGGTACAAATTTCTGCCGGCTCGGGGCGTCGCAGGCTTACCCCGAGCCAATCCGCGGCATTGTGAAAACGAAATTAGGCCCGCTCTGTATGAGTAAAGTTGTCTAAGAATGCAATGTATATAGGATCTAGGCTGCGTCGCTTTACCGCCAAGGTGTGTTGACACGTCATGAAATTTCAATATGTTTCACAAAGAACAAATATCAACCGGATCATAGCTGTCCCGAGTAGATGAAAAAGACGGAGTATTGGAAATATGCTAAGCTTCTCAGCCAAGGATGCCGAGAAAAGCTAAAAGATAGAAAATCCCCGTTATGCCCGTGAGCGTCGGCGAGTGGATACGCAATTTCGCCCCCAACAGGTGGACCCTAGGCTATCCATTTATGGTCAATCGACATCAGCTAAATATATCTCGACGTGCGGGGAATTCGCCTCTATGGGCTTGGATGTGTAGAAAATTTGGAGTTGATCGACCATGGTCTGTAGAGGTCCGGGACGGCGGGCCGCTGGTTGGTTATTGTCTCCGCCTCCTATACCTGTTTAACCGAATGCACACTGTATCCTGTGAGTAAGGCGGAGTTAGCAAGGAAATTACCGAGAATGGAGGTTGCCTAGGAAGGTAAGGAGGGACGTGCTCGCTTGATTTAGACAAGGCGCACTATCGCCACCCTGCGGGATAAAAATATATATGTGGACAAGTATCATGCAAGAAGACGATATCCGAAAAGAGGAAGCAGTTCGAGTAATTAATTGATTATGATCCAAGTTCCAAATGTGACTGGATGGACATCTGATATTTTTCTCGTTAATTGAGATATAGACACAGGTTTATCTATGGAAGCGAGTCCACTACCCATAAATGCAATCAATTTCAAAATCGGATAATCGGACCTTGTGGACGCCTTTGCTTATTGTTGTTCGGCCTGGGGCTGATATATTTGCAAGGATGCCTAGTCTGTATCAATTGTCCACGTCAGCCCTATAACTAGCCCGGATACTTGTTATCAATAATTTCAAGTTAGTTGCGTCTATATCGAGATTGAAACTAAGGCTGGAAAGTATCTCAAGAGCCGTGAACCAGTTTATGCCCCTTTCTAGGTACACCTGCAACTGTTAAATTCAGCCTTATGAGTTAAATTCAGCCCTGCGACATTTGGAGGGCCCACATGGCTACTCGCTGCTCACTCTAGACCGATCATGTGAGACATTTATCACGTAAATAAGCCCTCTGCCTAGGTAAGACGCAAGGTATCTATGGCTTGCCTCATAAAGTAATTCCACCTACATGTTACCTATGTGTCTAGATGATGGACTTTACCTCAAAATTCAGTACAGGATGTGATTGTCTTAAACATAGGTACTACAGTCGTTCAAAGGTTGATCTCTAGAAACAAACTCGTGAAATTCATTCCACGCTTATAGTCAAATCCATGTCAAGTTCTGGTAATGCCTAAACCAGGGGTAGTCAAGTAAGCAAGGGGCTGATGTACGGCAGTCTCCAACCGCCAATGCACCATAACAGATTTTGCCTGTAGTATACTACTCTTTAATATGAGTATCTTCTACATCTGAATACACTAATGTCACACCGGTCCTCTATCTAAGTTCAAAATCTGATTCTGATTCTCGATAATCGAATTATTATTGGTTAAATTCTTTATGGTCTAATTAGCGATGCCTTATTTCTTGATACTTGAATTCAAGTCTTAAGTTTATTTACTTTAAATTCCACACTTAAATTCTACGCTTTAATAAATCATCTATATATTCTTTTCCCGTCTTTATTGGTTGCCTGCCTACCTATAAAACTAGAACGGGGGAGAAAGTAGCTTGGAAGAAGCCGTCTAAAAGCAATATCTAAGACCTACTAAAAATACCACTAAAAATACCACTAAAACAGTTGGCATCCAGAACATGTTACCATGCCCCCTCAGGAACAATCCTCAAGGCTGCAGTGCAGAAGTCGTTGAAACAACATTGCATGACGAGGATCATTCCATTTCGTGATCTGAGCCCGAAAGGCTCATTTACGGTATTCTACTGAAGGACCCAACCATCCCCTGCCAATAAAAAACCCTTGACCGGGTTAAACATGATCTACAGAAAATACATTATGGAATAGCACCCATGGTGCAACATAACAATTAACCCTAATATAAGAAATGAAATTGCTCTTCTTGATAGTTCACTGAGAAACATAAAACGCAAATCAAAGAGCGGACAGTGAATATCAAAGCGTAAAAACAAAAGCAAGCGAGAATTGGGGAATGAATACTCCGTAGGTACCAAGCAAAAGCAAAACACAAAATCTGGGGGAAGAAGAAATTATAGGGAGATCATGATTTTCGCTGAGCCCTTTCTCTGAATAGTAGGTTCTCTCTTGCGGGCACAGTGGGGACCTCGCGAAGCTGAGCCCTAATAAGCGATGGCCCAACAACCGGAAGCAACGGTTCCATATCGACGGTTGAGAGTAAACGGGCGAATGCTTCCCACGTCATTCGAACAAACACGCTGGCTGATGCGTTAGTCTCAAACGCGTCAGTTATCTTCATTTGAAACTTGGCGGGCATTCTTTCGATCACGTTCTGAAAATCCCGTACCACATCCGTCGCCTTTCCTTCGAGTATGAGCATGACGAGCACTTGTGTTTCTCGATTGTGGGATGGTAGTGGCGGTGTTGGTGAAGGCATAGAAGGTAGTGTGCTCGACGTACGGCCAGATGATGACGCTGCCGAAGAATGAATTTCAGGACCAGAAGTAGGTTTGACTTTGAACGGCAAAATGATCGGCTTCACTCCACTCTGATTCCAGAATCGAGGCATATAGGTACCAGCTGGAGTCTCTTTCTGCACTGCTTGAAAGATCTCGTCGGTCGAAACAGAGACTTTGTCTGAATTGAAAATTGGTTGGATTGCTCTCCAAACTCTTTGTGTGAAAGATGCACCATGCACACGCGATCTTGCCCATACTAGACCGCTGCAAGCAGCTAACACGTGTGTAGAATATGGAGAGTTACTGCGCGCACTTCCGGAATGACAGCAATCGAGGATGGCGAAAAGATCCATAGGTACACCAGGAGGGGTGAATTCACGTTGCACTGTGTCCCACGAAACTAGTTTCGTGGCCTTCCGGTTAGCAAAGGACAGCCCGTCCAGATTGTTGACCACTCCGTGACCAGCATACGAAAACACGAGGAGATGGGGTTTCTGGTTCTTGACATTCGCTTTGATTGCTTGGATCAGCTGTATATTCAGGTCCCATTCAGGAAACGGACTCTTGCTTTTTAGCACAAAGGTTTCGCAGGGAACGTCAAACACGTCGCGCATCATGTTAGTAAATGTCTGATTGTCGTGCTCGGCGAGCGTATCATCGTCGTCCCAGTATACGGCAAACGCTAGGATTTTGGAGTAGTGGGTTCCTCTCGCTCTTACTGCCTTTTCCAGGGCAGCTTTTAACTGTGGTACGGGTATTTTTTTTGAGTTCGCTCGGACCGGAATCTTCGACGGTGATGTTTCACGGGAACGAGACGATGATAGAGATGGGCGTCTTCGACGTAGGAGAAGGCATGATGTTCAGATTTGAACACGTCACGTAGGAACAATTTGGTGGAGAGATATTGGGCCGACAGGAACGAAAATGAGACGAGGTCGGTTGTGCTTACCTGAGAGTAGTGACTGGCAGGGAGGAAAGACGAGAAATCAGGAATGGTTCTGGTGGCTGGTAGGGAAGTTTTGTTTGTGAGGTGCGAGTTGCGAAAGTGGAACAGAAGAAACTTGGGCTACTAGGTGATACATCAGTGTAGTATGTATGTAACAACCATAAAGAAAGTTTTATCTCCGTGGTTATCTCCGTGGACGTAAATTGTTACGGGGAATGTCCACTAACACCCCTTCACCGCTTTAGCTAGATAGCCGTCGCCCGTTAGTTAATTAGGAAATATCATCCTTCTACCACTCTCCATGACATAAATGGAACGGGTTATGCCTATTACGTTCTATTCACTACGTCACATCCGAATTATATTTCCCGTATAGCCATTCTAGACTTAAAATGTACATATAGAAGATCCGAAATTTACGACCATAGCTTGGCTCCTATAGATTCCAATCAATTATCGTACCGAGAACTAGTGCCAATCTGTCTACTGATTTGAGATACATGGAGTTTGTGAGTATTTAAGATATGTTGGACTATGCTTGCAACGCCCTTGAATATAATCGGTAGCATATTAGCATACAGCGTAGTAAATCTTCCTAACCTTCTCGATACGCATATTTGTGCTCATTGCTACAGATATAAAAGCATCTACAATGACCGTAGACATGGGACTTTTAAGGAGCTCTCCATGATGAATCTCGAAGTGGTTGAAAGTGTTGCATCGTTCGACGTCTACCAAGCCGGCCTTTTGCATACTATTGAGTCTATAGGGGATTCGCCCCCTGGCAGGCATGTTCCTTTTCTCGCTCAAAATGGGACACTCATGCCATTGGTAGCGTCTCCATGCATTTCATTGTCAACACAACCCTTGGTCTGAGGCTTCATTTCTGGCGCATTTTATACTTCTATTGGGGTTAATTTTCATAGTTTGTTTCTCAGATGGATCATCCTTGCAGATTTATAGACTTCTCTTGCCCTAATACTCCTTTTGGTCGAGTACATGTACCGGTCAGGTGATGATGTACCTGATATTTGCCTCAGGCTTGTTCTGTAACCAAGAATCGGGGGATGAAGTACAATATTCCTTATGTTATCCTCACAAATGTCAATAAGTATTATCAATATTTCTATGGCAATCTTTATATGAACTAAGTCCAGCACTGTCATCAACGAAGGACAAGTCAATCTAAGCTCAACCAGGTCCACTAACCCCGCAATCCCCCAGATTTGGGTGGGACCGGCCCCAAACCTCCGGACTCCACAACATTCCACTTTTATCGGGTTATCATAACATCTATAAGCATATACAGCAATGAAAGTAGATATAAAATCAGAAATACAACTTTAGTTTTAACCTACGCTGAATTTCAGGGGAACCCACCTATAGCAGGCTAGTCATCTCACCCGGACAGCCCCCTATTTGTGTGTGTCACATTGTACACGGTGACGAGTAGATGAGGGTACACAGGTACTTATATTGTCCTAATATACATGTATTGGGGTACTTTTGGTCTACCTGTGACGCCAAACCTAGCCAATAGCATACAGCTAAGGTCAATCAAGACCACTTCAACACCAAAGAGAATGTGGGGGAAAGGGCTAATTTGGCTAATGCGCCCCCATTATGATCGACTGGCACTGCCCACTATCAATTGGAAGGGCGGTTATTATTGCTTTTAGTAGCCCTACCGTGTCGAGTCTCCTCAATGTTTACATTTCTGTGAACAGAGTAGTGTATACTTCAAATTAGGTATCACGATCCATGGAACAGAACCGACTTGAATCACCACGACATCAAGTCGAGACCACTGGAGCCATCAGGGGACACATGGATCCTGAAACTCACCCAACGACTCCAAGTTTATGTGACGCATCGCGACCATTGGCTTGCCACCGGACAGGGATGCCCTAGATGTCACCTTTCAGTCAGTCCCAAGTCCTGACTGACTCCCAACCCCGCATTCAGTCAGATGATACCAGTGTATATAAGTCTTTCTTTCAGTCCTACCTTTTTTATGTACTTGTTTGCTTTTCAGAAACTCTCCCCTCTACTTCCATCATCTCCCATCAGACTTTCAACGTCAACATCAACTTGACTTTTCCATCAACACATTATCCCACATACTATCCAACACACTACATTCAAGATGTCGGCAGCCATGGGTCCTATTATGCAGCAACTTCAGGCTCTACCTGCCCGCTCAAGGCAGGGTCTGAATAACCTCCGCCAGCGTATCTTCCAGCAGGGTATGTTATTCCCTCCCGTCTTCCGACCGTCTCATCCACCTTGCTCTTGATATTCAGATATAACTAACACTACCCAAAGGTGAGAGACAGCCCAAGGAAACCAACCTCTTCCGGACTTCCCTCAGTGTTCACCGTCCTGTTTGGATTACTGCTGCCGGCGGTCTCTACACTAGTATGGCGGCTGTGTACCTCACGATGCGATATCTGAAGCGGGTTGCTCGGTAGATGGGGCAGTCCAGTCACTGCTTCTTACTTGACTTGATTCGACTACATGACTCTACAACTCTCACGCATGTTTTCCACTACTCTTCACACACATACCCCTTTTATCCCTCATCAGCATGCTTCTATCGACAACAGCTGTGTCTGATCGGTAGTCGTGTGCGACTGGAGGGATTCATCATGTCCTAGATGGGACATTTCTTTCTTTTGTTCGGTCGGTCATTCGCATCTTCGCCATAGAATGGCAAGATAGACCTGGCGTTTTTGTTTTAAGGGCTACTTTACCCTGACTTGTTACTATCACAATGAATATCTTACAATTACTCCTGGTTCTACATATATCGTATTGGCTCTACTTTTCAACTTTCTATGGCTCGTTTTCTACGCAGAGTGTAGAATTGTCCCATATTATGGTAAGAATGAGATCGCTCAGCCGAAGGTGCCGGTGTTGACAAGGAAGGTTTGAAGAGCGCGTGGTAATAATGACTGAATAACAGACTGCCCAGATGGGCACAACCAAGAAGGCCAGGCTAGACTTCGCCCTTCCAAGCCATGGAGCCATACGCGCTTTCAAATCAGGGGGTGTGTAAACAGAGCGAAAGCCCGATGTTTTTCTCCCAGGGTACACACACATCGAAAGTCGACTGTATACATACCCAACGTGAATCATCCCTTACCGCTTGAGATTATGTACCAGTACAAGTAAACAAGTCACTCGAAGTAGAAACTGCGAAGTGACAGATCCACTCGGCTGAAGAATCCACCCCCAGAATCTGAGATGATCCACTTCCCCATCGCTCAAAGGAATCAGGAGTGCGCTCGGCCCCTCGCTTCTACCATACACGATACACGATACCTCAGGCAGATATTTTGTAAACAATCTGCTGCCCTATCATATCTCTTCTCTTACTCAGGGCGTCGTCACTGCGCTGGGGTTGGCCTGTAGAATGATCTCATTGCTGATGGGTGCATGCGTTAGTTTCTTGGCGACCCCGCGTTTGTGTGTGTGCGGAATTTCCTTCTTGGGTTGTTTGAAATGGGTATCTGCTCATATTTGCGGGTAGAGGTAATTATTCAGTACAAACACTTTTGGGAAGGTTATAACGAAAGCCCTACGAAAGTATTGTCTGGAACGTTACAACTCTGGTGTCCTTAAACTTGGTGTGAGTCCTTTTCATTGGGGAAAGAGCGCGAGATGATTGTATCGATTGTTCTCTCAGTAAATAAATTAACACCCAGTCTACGAAGTAGGGGTGCCCGGTCTCATTAAAGGGCCACAGATTCTATGTATGACTTGCCTAGGAACCCAAGAGAACATGGATGGGACTTTCCGTCGTCCTAATATTGCTCGAGTGAGAAGCAACTATTACCTCAATCGAACTTTCTTTTCATCCTCATTTATTGTTCAAAAATCAAAGAGTTCCAAAATGTATAGCAAGCATGGAAAATAGTTGACCCCACCGGAGTCACTCTCCCCATATTTGCCAAGCCTTCTTTAAAATCCGGTGGAGCCAACCTTAACTGTCCGACTATCGATACTTGTCGCAGATCTCAGAGCCTGTGAGGATGGATGGGTGTTACACTTGGCTGTGAACCATGAGAGTGAAATTCTGCCGTTTAGAATTTCGCGAGAAGGCATGTGAGTCCGCTCAAGTGATTGCAGATATGTTGGAGGATCAGTACTTGGATGAAAGTACCGCAAATGCTGAAGCGGATGTGGAATATTAGATGCGTGCTGGTGATGGCTGGGGACTAGATCATTGGATTCCGGATCCTGTGCGTCGATTAGAAATATCCGAAGGTAAAGGTATCAGAATGAAGCAGTCGAGTATCGTCCGTGGATAAATTATGCAAACTTGGTTCGGTGGTCTTGCAAGCTACATGAATGATTCAGAATGAATATGAAGTGTTGTTGCGTTGAAAGATCTGTTTATGTACATGTGGTGTAATATACAATAGTACGGAGTACCTGAACAAGTTCAAACTAACCCATGTCTACCATGTCTAGGTTCACGCCGCGAGGGGCACGACATATCTGACGTGCATCATCAGGCATACTTGTCCAAATGACCTGGTTGACCTCCCTACCAACCTGCTCGATCGCATCCATTGCCCAAAGGACATCGAGATGCTCATACTCTTCAATGACCTTTGAATGAACAAGATTCACATGAGGCTCACGGCCGCCCTGGAAGCGATTCAGAAGTCGGCGACCATCGACAAGAGCGTCGGAGCCTCCTATCCAAAGTGCAAACGGGGGTGTTTTCGGGCCATACCAGGGGATTGGGGCTGGACTTCCTAAACATGCGTCCCGAGGATCGTCGCCATGCTCAGAAACAGCATCTCGCACACACGGGTTCGCGTTTGTCTCATGGAGGAGCTCGTTTTCTGTGGATAAGATGCATTTATGTTTTGCGAAGCTCTCACTTCCCAGCCACCAACGCATCAACTCAACACTGACATATACAGGAGCAAACTGGAACATTCGGTGGCGCAGATCACGCTCCCAGCGCGTGTCTGACCAGTCGAACAAGAAGGAGAACACCCAATATGCCAAGGTTCCATATATCCTAGACGGCAGCAGACGCTGAGCGGTCATCATGGAAGGAATGAAAGAGTGGATTCCAAAAATAAGTCGGAACATCGACGGAGGCAGAAGGGTAATGAATCGGAAATATGGTCTGCTTACAAGCGGGCCGGCGTATGCAGCCGGTGCAAGCGCGCAGAAAACCGAGATGTATTCACCCAGCCCAGGGCGATGGTCTTTGGCTAGAGCAACAAATGTCTGCGTGGTTCCCTGAGAGTGGCAGACGAGACCTAGTTTCTCAAACCCAGTTTCGTAGAGCACACGTGAGGTGAGTGCTGCAAGGTCCAGCGTTCCGAGATGTCGAATGTCCCAAGACCACATACGTGGGTCATCGGGCGACAAAGTCGTGTGCTCTGGGTGTGATCCACACCGGTTATTCCCTAACCAGACGTCATACCCGGACTTGCATAGGTAAAACGCCAGACTATCCTCGTCGTTGGTACAGAATGCACCAGCATTTTGCAGCAGTCCATGGACCAGGAGAACAGGATATCGACGGTTAGACTGTGGACTGGATGAATTCGGTATTCTTGGCTTAGTGAAGACATCAGGTCCACGCTCACGTCGCTCTTCTGCCGATAATGCCTCATACTCCTGGGGATTGAAGACGTGCCACAGGGTGATGATGAAACCGTCCTCCGTCTGTACCCGAAATTTTTCCACGTCGAGACCAACTCGACGGGCATAGTATGCAACGTCACCAATCAAGAGATCCTTGCCTCCTTCCAACGACGGGCATTCTTGGCATTCTTCAGGTCCCTGTTCCTCGTCCATATCCCTCTTCTGTTGGCGCAGAGCCCACCTCCGATCGGCGTTGGCCCTCGCCTTTCTGCGTACCAGTTCCTCCGTATAGAACGACCTCCTCGTATCCGGATTCAGGCCGCTGCATCGTAAACGAGCTTCCGAAATTGCGACTCCCGCTGTGCGGAACAGGGCCCCGATAAATACGGTCGCCAAAAAGCATAGCGACAGAAAGAACGAGGCGACGATAAACATATAGTGCTGGATCCTGCGCAATGCAGATGGGGGACCGTATGACGGCATGGGTGGGAAAAGCGGGTGTTCTGTAGTCAGGAAATGAAGACCGGACGAAGATTGTTTTTCTCTACACGATGATGTCCCAGTGAAATCCGTGGCCGACACAGCCTTGCCTTCGCTGGTCTCCATCCCCGTGGTCCCTTTCTTCTCGGGTTGTATTCGGTCGGATTGGACGTCTCGCATGGCTGCGCCGGCGTGACTCGACTCCGCACGTGCGGTCGATATGAGGGGTTCGAGCGGAATTGTTGTGACCGACATTGTCATAAATTTCACTCGTCATCCGGAATCCAAATGGCACATTGTGGTCTGTCTCGAGACCCCAGGAACGGCGAATAGATTGCGGAGTATCTGAGTCTTGAGAAATCATCAAGTACCCCGGACACCTCGGCCTGCATTGCATCTGCATGCCAAGGCTGAGCTGAATGACACCACGTGACCTTTCAGGTACAGACCCGTGGACATGTGATTGTGGATCCGATAGGCCAATCAGAGATCTTCTGGGCGCTGCCTATAAATAGCATGGCGAGGCATGCCAACTGGTAGGATCCATGCTGTACCTGTTGAAGTTTGCAATTTCCATGGACAAGAAAAGTCTTATATTAAGTTATATACGAGCCCAATATTAATACTTAAAACATAAAGGGTATCAAACGCGTCAGACATCGCCATCTCTCTCATTTCCCTCTGCTGCCATCGCTGCTCTTTCATCAAGTGTAAATTCACTCTTGGCCTCTCTGATTCGCACGAAAAAGACGACAATAAGAAGCCCCAGTATGGCTAGTCCGGTTTGGTACCAAAAGACAGCCTTGTAGCTGTCCCGAGTACCCAATTCAGACGTCTGGGTGTGAACAATATCCGCGAAACCAAGCATCACCGCGATTCCCATATGCAGAGTGCAGTTGATCAAAGCACCAGCTAAGCCTTGCCTTGAGTTTGGAAGATTTGTGGTAATGAAGACATTGGCAAGATTGAAGCTTATGTCAATGCCGATTGTGCCGCATATCATCGACGGGAATACGAAAGCCCAGTAATTTCCGCCAACAGGAATGACGGCAAAAAGCAATCCAGAACCCACGTAGCCGAGACATGATATTAGTATTAATATCGTTCCTGGGACTTTATGGAAGATCATTCCTCCTCCAACTGAGAGAATAAGGCCACCAACTCCCATAGGCGCAGTCCATGCCACGATTTGCATTGGCGAAGCACCCATTATTTCAGACATGCTATAAATGTTGTTAGTAACTGACTAGAAAATATCACACAGATACAACTCACTAAAGAACGGCATATAGTAGAAATATACCCAATGTGCCATAGAGAAATAGCAACGCCATGACCAGAGGCAGCATATACTTGACTCGGAAAACGTCACCAGGCAGCAGAGGATTCTTCACGACCCATCCTTCCACATAAACCATGACTCCCATGAGAATGAGCCCAAGAACGAAGAACAGAGGGATATATGGCGTTCTCCATCCTTGTGTCGCATACGAACTATCCGCAATGGCAAAAACAACGAGCACAGCCGCCGGGACGGAAAGACAGGCACCAGGCCAGTCCATCCGGATGCCTAACTTTCTCTTCTCGGAATAATCGCGGGGAATAGAGAAGAGCGATAGAGCTGCTGTGATGGCGGAAAGGATCGCTCCGATGAAGAAGTACCATCTCCAAGTGAGATATTCACCAGAGAGTCCGGAGAAGAAAATTCCCACAAAGAAGCCCAACGCCGCACATGCGCCGTAGATACTGAAGACCATATTCTTTCTAGGTCCCGGTCTGTAGGTGCTACCAAGGATCATGACTCCTGATGGAAGAAAAGCGGCCAGAGCAAAGCCCTGCAATGCTCGGCAAATAATCAACATCAGCCATGTTTGGGAGACACCGCAAAGAATAGAGGATATCGTGAGCCAGATAGCTCCCCCGCTGTAAATTATATATCCGCCAAACATGTCGGTTAATCTACCGAAGATAAGCAGCGTCGAGGTCACGACTAGTGATAATGCGGTAGACGGCCATATCTCTGAGGCTTTGGGAAGGTCAAGCTCTTTCACGAGCGTTGGAAGGAGGACATTCGAGCCTGAGATGTAGTATTCCTAGTAGAATGTCAGAACTTTGCTTCGTTGCGTAGAATCCTCGTTGATCACTTACTGCAAGAATTTGGGACATGAAAATTGAGAGACAAAAAGAAATTTCTGACCACGCGCTTTTGAAGCACTTTGGCCGTTCTCTTCCTAATCTCTCCAAATCAGCAGTCTCATGGTTGATCCTGGCCTGCTCTGGGTCATGGGGCATGGCCTCATTGCTCGGGTTAGGAGCTTCTGGTGCGCCCATGATACTTTATTAGAAGCGTCTATGTTTTCTTGGCGTTGAATTACAAGTGAGCAGTGCGCCGTATGCGTGGTGTTGCAAAGATTTATATAGCCATTGTGAGCTCGGGAGTGGCCATTTCTAAGCTATGACGCCCCAACAACTATTCTAGACCAACAGACCCAATAAGATAGTATTATCTGATGAATAGTACCCGTTTCTAGAAGACTACCGGAACTTTGTGCACGAGGAAGCGAGATGATTTGCGGGTTAGCGTGGATTCCGGGATGTTAAATCTCCGCGCCAAGACTTTGATTTTCAACTTCCTTTTTAGGAAGTTGTCAGGAGTGGGGCCGACGAAATCGGAACTTCAGGGGGCCTTCTCAGGACATCGTCAGGGTTCAGGGTTATAAGAACGTCTGCATCTTGTCACATATTTTTCGAAGAACTTGGGCTCGATGCTTCGCTGCCCAGCCAAGTTCATATGTTTAGGTAACCCCGCTTTGATGCCCATCTAAGCAGATTGAATCGTAGACGCTTTTGGAACATCAGTTGTCCACATTGTTAAACACTAGATTACATTTGTGCTCGACTGGTGCGAAGTGTGAATTCATTATTTCTACGCCCTAGTCCTGTAATATCATATCCAATGTCCATGCATCAGAGCCTCGCTGATGCAATATTTCTATTGGCGTTGATCTCCGAACGACCACAGAGCCATGAAGAATCAATAGAAGAGACGGAAGCCAGTGAGATCGAGAAAGATGCATAATCCCATTCCGACGACGAAGAATCAGACGAACCCGAAGATCCAGCCTGATCCAGAACATGAGCAATACCGTATCGAACTCAAGAATCAATTCCTCGACCGACTTGCCGAAACACTAGCTCGCTTCAAAACTGATCCCCAGGCCAGGACATCGAATGATGCAGAACATGTCTCTGCAGCTATGATGGTTTGCTATGAAGACGAAGAGCACGTCAAGATATTTTGCGCTAACAATGAGGGGCTTGATAAGGAAGACCATGACTTCCTAGCTAGATGGAAATTACGTATGGAAAGTATCGCTAGGAAAGGTTCGTTTTAGATCTGATTAGATCGTTCAGCATGTGCTTGTATCTGTCACTGAACTCTAGTCCAGGGTGTGCCTCAGATGAGGATACATTTACCATGTTCAACCTCGTTACAGATTATCAATGACCACGGATCACAACCTATCTTGAGTCGTTGAGGCGGGTTTTTCGATCTAAAATAATCCGGGCTTAGGTAAGAGTGCGCCGAAACCCTCTCTGTTAGCAGAGCGAGTTTTGACTTTTCCATCATTGCAGAGTAAGGAGTGGGAGGACGACAATGGGTTTTTGTATACCATACCGCTGGGCTATTCCTTGCGGCCGGACCGTCCCGTGCCTGCGAAAGATTTGACCGCCGTCAAATCAAACACTACTTGCACTGGTGAGACACAGTGCGAGATCCAAGGCAGCGTTTCCGAGCTTTTCGAGAATATCCATCGCCTGTGTCAACCTGGTACTATGCCAGAAGACCAGACAAGTCTCCTGAAGGAAATTATGAGTCGCATGTTTAAGCTCTGGAGAGAGCCCCGGGCTAGATGAAGGCAGCGCTAAGAAGAGAGTTCACACGGCAGAAAGACAAAGACACTTTGCTGTTTCTTGTTTCTCGCTAGGGTCTGCTATGCTGCGTATATCTACTTCGAGATTGCTAAGGTCTCTGGATCTTTTCGGTCTATCGAGATCGTGTCTATTCCGCACAGCGGAAATCAAAGTCAGCACAAAACCAACTCCAGCATAAGAAAAAACAGCAACGTACAGCAGAAGATAAATGCGCCAATATCCTAGATGTCATCAAAACTCTAGGTCTCACTTTTCACCCTAGCTGGACAGAGTATCTCACCCAGAACGCGGCGAGGTTTACTGGGATGAGCAAATCGAAACGAGAGAAATAATTTCATGTAGAAACTCAACTCTTAGCTTACTTTGAGTACTCGATGTCCCCGGAGGATAGAAACCAGTTACTAACGGCTCTCTTTCGAGACGATCATCTGATTCTCTGCAAGACTTTCGGATTCAATATTTGCGTGCAAGAAATGGACATCATTCATCTTTTCTGCATATACAATATACAACTGTTTGATCTTCAGATTTCCGTCAAGCATGCTTCAACGTTGTGTCGAGAACCATAATCTAGAAGATTCATTGAAGATCGGATCAAGTATCAAATGGTACAGACTAACGTCCAAGAATATGGTTGGTTTCCATGGTTTCTCAGTCTGTATCAATCAGGCTCCTTTGATATCCCTAATCATAATGGAGAGTACCTTTACCAGCTCTCTGCCATACGAGAGCTTGAGAAAACATTCCCCATTCATTATGACGGTTCCCTGTCTAGACAAAAACCTGTTGTTAGATTTTTGTATAGGATCCTTTTCCGGGATATCAACAACATTCCCAATGTTGATGATCCAGAGTGGGTCAGATTCGGCTTCTGCTATTGCAGAAACAGGGCCCAGATGCAACTTCTTGCAAGGGCTTACATGCAGCTTGCCACCCATGCTTCGCTCAATGACATAGCAACAGCATGGAAATCAGGCACATTACTTGAGCTCATGGCGACTAAAGATATCTCGATATCATCTCTCGTTTCTGAAGGAATCTATCTCCGCCAGCCATCGCCCGAAACGGTCGGCATCTACCGGCTCATGTCAGAAGTCTCACACGGTCTGAGTGGGTGTCCAATCTGCCAATGCAAAAACGCCCGATGCCAATTCCATTCAAAAGATGAGCGTTTTCTCCGCAAAGAATCCGAGGCCGACTACGGGTTCCTTTCAGTTAATACCTGGGAGCGCTGGCGACTATTGAGCTTCTATTCCGATCTCTTCTCAAATCCGAAGTTCAATCCGCAGAAGATGCAAGAAGCAAAGCGAGATCCAGATCCGCAGACACTTGAAACATATATCGAATCCTTGGTTTTGGGCTTTCGCCGGACAATCTGGAATGAGCATTTGACAGATGGAATGTTTCCCAAACTTGGCCCTCGACTTAAATTCCTGGGCCCTCATCCGTATTGCGAATGTTTTATCCATAACCTTCCTCTCTCTGAAGGGGTGGAGTATAACGTCAATGTGGAAATCGAGTGGATCCGCGAAGACTACGAGGGGAGAAACAGAGAGCAGGTTTCCGAATCATAAAGCGAGAGTGACCTCGTATCGGGTTTGGCCGCTCTCTTTCTTTCTACGATTGCCCGAGAATTGAACCTCGAAAAATATCACACAATGACCTCGATACTTCCTTTACTATGTTGAAGCATTCACAATCCACAACTTTGACACCGTATTATAATGGACATCCAAGAACGCCAAAATTCTGGCGGTGATCAATGTACTTCTCATGACAGAAGCCATCGAATTAAACCAGGCCTCACCGAAATAAATGGTTTAGACTAAATTTACCCCGACAGCGCCACGTGGCTTGCTTCAAGCTACCGATCACACATATTTGTCTCACATAGAGGAATTACTTCTGCATTATGTAGTTCCAAGATGATATATCATATGCGGGAATGTACCTTTACCCCGCGAAATATGCAGGTTCCATGTGGGATACAGTAAATCAGAAAAAGAAGTATCTAGGTGAGATGGCCATGGTGCTCTAGAATGTTCGGCCTAGAGTTTAAAGGGTGCATTCCACGCTAGATGTTTCACACTTGCTACACTGAGGTTTCATCCCATGACAGCTTTTGCGGCTTAGCTCGCGTGCAGCAATCCCCAATCTTCCCACCTACGTACAGCAGATCGTTCCCAAAAGGTCAGTCGCGATTTCTGACACCGGTCATAGCTCAACTGCATCTACGGATTTCGCGTTGCGGGTGTTCTCCGTGGGTTGTAGCATATATCGCCCAGTCAGTAGGGTGGACTACCATGATGCCATTTTCAAAGTTTCCTCGGCGACATTTTGTAGAGTTAAGTCGCTACCTGTGGTGCTGTTTGTTTAGAAACATTCTAGTAAGGTGATTGCGAAGTGATAGCCTTACCCTGAGAGTAGGGTTGTTCGCCACCGCTCCTGTCGTTAAACAAGCATTATACAATATAGACCAAGGAGTCATTTACATTCAACGGAAAGCACTGACGTTCCAGGCGTGCCATCTCTGTAGTTTGCCCCAGGGCGCCCTTGGGGCACAATCATCATCCTCATTGTGTCTTTCTGATTTACTTTCCACACGTTCTCTTCGAAACATGATTTGAATATTGCTACCTTCTCCATGGATTTCTCGCGATTTTTTACTGAAAGGGACGCACCGTCATCCCTATCCTCGTGATTAATGAATGCCAATCTCAGAGTTAAAGAAGCTCTGAATGTTTACCATATTTCTTTCTGCGATGGACTTAAATATGGCTTTTTACCAAACTTCTCAATGTAATCACGGCGGAATTCACTGAAGGCGTGGTATCCATCAAAGACATTGACAGCACCCGCGGCCTGTGGTTGAGAATATAAATATCAGCCTATAGGTTGACATGAAAGCTTTGCAAGGCTTACGCCGCGAAGGGAATTAGACAGGGTCTGATCATGAAGATCCTGGGGCGCTGTCTGTAACCAAAGTGCGAGGAGTGAAATGGGGACGCTTTTCACCCCGATATATTACTCCAGGACTGCGAGGAACTCTTCGTTCACCAGCTGCTAATTGAGGTCGTTACAAGGATGCCAGTCTGTGAGGTACATGATTTCAGTTGGCTAACGGTCAGTTCGGCTGTTGATTGAATAATGTAGTCCATAGAATGGACAAGATTTCACCTTTTGAACGCGGCCCCATAATCTTGAGGATAATAGGAGGACTTGAATCATAGACGATGACCTGACGAGTATTCCAATTGCATCAAATGCTCTTTTAGCTTATTAATATCCATTCAAGGCTTTTCAAAAAAGAAACTTGAGGGCGGTAGGAAACGTGAGCGGACGGAACAGAGGGGACTATATTTCCCATCGCCTAAGAAGTGAATATTCTTAGCAACCCTGTCGATACTCATGTCGGTGCTATCCAAGAAGTCCCTCGGTCCTAATAACACTCGGCCTGTATCCGTCAAGTATGGCTAGTCTCGACATTGTTCAGTCCAGTTAAACTAAAGGCCTTCGATCTATAAAGTTTCTCATACAATTTAGAACGAATATTGATTCAAGTCCATACTTTCTAGAAATGAATGATATAGCTAAAGAACTATCAGATTGATATATATCTTCGAGAACTACTTCTACGGTAGACTGCGCTTGATGGGATTTGGTTGATAGTAGCCCCTTCCATATTGGGACAAACGGCTGAAACCCACGTGGGGGCCGTTTCCCGGGGTGACCATATTATATTAAATGCACGTGACTGACATATGTACATGGTTGCCTGATTTGCTCCAAAGCTGATACTTTACAATGAACAACAGCATATGCTTTTCATCTGATGCCGAGCATCCATCGTCATCTGCCCGTGATTTGGAGTCAACCTCCAACTGCTCTACTACACCCACCATTGGGATATGGCGCCAACCATGTCACGCACAAATCAAGTGTGGTCTCGGAGAGAAATTGAGGGATTGATAGCAGATGGGCGAAAGATAATCATATTTGGTGGTCAGGTACTCAAGGCTGACGCGTGGATACCATATCATCCAGGTGGTGATAAGTCAATATTGCACATGGTTGGCCGGGATGGGACGGATGAAATCACAGCGTTGCACTCCGAGGAAGCACAGGTCTATATGCAAAAGTACGTGATAGGAAAAGTACATGGAAGATGGGAAAACTTCTTGCCTCCGATACAGGGAGGAATATTCAGAGCGCTGGTATCGAAGGATGACGATGAAGCTGAAAACTCCAGCTCGTCTGGACAATCGACACCGCAATCACTCGTTTTCGATACTGAAGAGACAGGGGACGAAGTTCGTCTGAGGCGTGTAGGCAATAATACGCCTATTTCGCAAGCTTCATCAACAGAGCCGGAACCGGAGCAGTTCAAGTTCAAATCTTCGGAGGCATCAACAGCTCACGCGATATCATCCGACTTTTCAAAATATCCTCATCTTGATCAAATGTCACAAGACGAGGTCATCTCAAAGTACCGCCAGCTCGATGAAAAATTGCAATCCGAGGGGCTCTACCAGTGCCCATATAGCTCCTACGCTGTTGAATTTATCCGATACTCGACCCTTTTTGCTCTCTTCTTGACATGTCTTCACCATTCCTATTACACTCTTTCGAGCCTTTTCCTCGGGTTACTCTGGCATCTGCTTTCATTCCTCGTTCACGACGCTGGTCATCTAAGCATAACCCATGGGTTCCACACAGACACCTGTATTGGGATTTTTGTTGCAGATTTCATTGGTGGTCTTTCAGTCGGCTGGTGGAAACGGAATCACAACGTACATCATATAACAACCAACTCGCCCGAGCACGATCCGGACATCCAGCATATGCCATTTTTCGCCATCTCTTCTCGGTTCTTTGGTTCCCTACGCTCGACCTACTACGACCGCGATATGCCTTTCGACGCTGCAGCCCGATGGTTTATCAAACACCAGCATTACCTCTATTATCCCATACTTTTAATGGGTCGTTTCAATCTATACCGCCTAGCATGGACATACTTACTCGATCCAAAGCAGGCGCCTCGGAAAGGCTCGGCATGGTGGCATCGCTATCTTGAAATGACCGGCCAGGTGGTTTTCTGGTACTGGTATGGCTACCAAACACTATATCTCTCGATCCCGACGTGGTCGTCCCGTATCGCTTTCCTGCTCATCTCCCACATGGTCACCGCCCCGTTGCATGTCCAACTTACGCTGAGCCACTTTGCCATGTCGACCGTCGATGGGGGTCTCCACGAGTCATTTGCTCAGAAGATGGTGCGGACGACGATGGATGTGGACTGCCCGCCTTGGTTGGACTTTATACATGGCGGTCTCAATTACCAAGTCGTGCACCATTTGTTCCCTCGTCTGCCGAGACATAACCTACGCCGGGCACAGAAGTATGTCAAAGAATTCTGTGACGACGTTGGAATCCCGTACGTGATATTTACGTTTACGCGCGGGAATAAGGAAGTCATTAGCAGACTGGGCGAGGTGGCTGAGCAATTGAGGGTGATGGAGGAATGCAGAAAAGTTGCTGCGAAGGATTTGATTCAGGGTCACCATAGTCATTGATCTATCTTTGGTAGTTATTTTCTTTTGGGGCATATAGGTTCAACAACCCTGGAAGAAGAGTGTATATATAATGTAATGGAAAATAAGTATCTAAATCCTAGGTTATACATAGAAAAGTCGCTTTCTTTCTGCCCTCTACCTACCTATAGAACTGAGAAGTGGGACAAAATATCTTTAAAAAAAAAGGCATAAAAAGAACATCTGACGCCACAAAGGCCGCACAAGTGCCCGTCTGATCTTGTGTTTATATCAATTAAATGAATTCAAGGCCAATCGTACGTCATGGCTATTAGCCTCCGTGTAGCTCCTTGGCAAACCGCCGGGGCCCCGGTGCCAGATAAAGTATAGGATTTCCCTGTTAAAACCTTGGAATTTTGGCAGGACTCTTGTTCGAAATTATAAACTGCACTTATTTTGAGCATATAAAATTTCAAATACTCAAATCCTACTTCTCACACACCGATTATGACTTTTTCCCCTTGTTTTTCTCTATGTCGGCCGAGAGACCTACAACATACCGTTTAGGTAGTCATTCTATAGAATATAGAACAGGTAACCTCAACAAGCCACTTTTTTCAACATTTCAGGCTTGATGAAGAAGGTTACATGAAACAAGCAATCTAAATGCCACAACTGCCGAGGATATCTCCGATGTCAGATAGTAACCTCATGCGGGGCGTTACCTTTTTAGGAATCTTCAGCGAAGATCATTGCAATCAATGTAACACCCCTCACAACCTCAACAATCTTCCCACATATGCGGGAACAATTTGGACAATCTGCAGCAATCTCAGAGATTATATGACAGTTCTCAATGCGTTCATAAACTCCGAGGGGTGCTATATAGGCAATGATAACCACAAGTTGAGCAGTTGAAACAGCCTACAATCAAAATGAAGTTCTCTACACAACTCCTTCTTCCTTTTTTCCTTGCTCTTGCGCCTTCAGCTTTGGCTGCTTCCCCGAGCGATCTCCAAGCGCAAATTGGCCATCATGTCATT